CTCCAATTAGGTTCAATATAGGTATGTAATAAATATACAATAATAATTAATAATTAATTAATTCAACATAAATTGGCTTATTGCACTTGCACGCCCATATGTTTAACATAATTGTCTATTAACTATTTTATTGTTAGGTATGGCAAATTATATTATAATAATATATTAAGTTAACCATCTGTTACGTTTTACGGCAAAAGTCTGTACATGGCTTTATCAGTATAGGTCAAGGGCGCCCAAAGATGAAATTTCAAGAGGGGGAGTGGAGAGGGTGCAAAATAAATATAATTCTCCATCCTCCGACTTCCCCGAGCATCTATTCGGCGTATACCGCATTATATGTATGTATGTATGTATCATTTATGTACCCAAGTAAAAAGTCGTGACTGGATTTCCACTTTAAAATCTAGCCTTTGAAGTGTCAGTTATAATAGGGATAATAGCGCTACTTTTGTAAAGCTTTTGTGTATTATATTTTAGTAGGTCTTCAAAACTGAAAATCGAAAGTTGAGTTTCAAAAAAAACCTAGAAAATTTGTCAACAAATTGCATACATACTTAAAAAAATTGAAATCGGACATCGGGAATTCGGGACATATGTCTAATTATCCACCGCCTATTAACCTAGAAGTATGAAAACTTGGTGTGCTCCAGTAAACATTATATCATTGATTATAAGTACTATTATAGTATAGGTACCTACCTATGGAAATTCCATATTGATCAAATTAATATAGGAAACATAATAGGTATAATGATATAATATTATGTACTTCTCTATGAAATATGATAATACACTATTAAATAGAATATAATACAAAAAATATAATGTTATGTAACATGTAATACAAATTACATTTATGAACATTGATATTATTTTTTTAATCATTTTTTATAAGTATAATTATATTTTCTTTATCTATATAATTATAGTGCTTAGAAGTATAACCACTCAACGTTAGCTAGATGATAATCGGACAGTGTTATTTAAACATTTTGTATTTTAATCGTTTTACTACTTCTATTCAATACTTATAGGTATTTATTTAAACTTTCTTACATTTATTTTTTAAAGATTATTAATGAAATTACTATACCAAAGTGAAGTGAGTGGTGTGTAGGACTTGTAGGTACCAAGTACCTATATCGACTATACTTTATTTAATACAGTATATACATACGTACAAAATAGAGTGTATTATTATGAATCATAAACATAATATTATTAAATAGTTTACTTCGTTGAGGTATATTCATTTATGTACTTAATAAAAATCATTTAGTATCCAAAAAAAAAAATAGGATTTTTCTCGGCTATAGCCGTAATATTTTAAGGTACTCGTACATAATATCATGCAATATTACGTAATATGCTGTCATATATTATTATAATTCCGTAGTTACCTAGATACCTACAATTTATTTTAGTAGATAGTGGAACTATAGTATGAACCGAAGTATTTAAATTTTGAAATATTATCTAAACAACTATACTATACTAGTGACGAAAATTATTACTACCGATTTTAGAATAATATAAAATTAATATTACTACTACTAAGGATGCATATTTTTTACCGGGTAGTATTTTGAAATATTCGTCTAAATTTCTAACAGTTTTTTTTTTTTAATTCCGTTAAAATTAATCGTAGAAATTTGACATTTTCACAAAATACATATATTACCCTCTAAGACATTAGACGTCGCAAAATTTTCAAATAAATTTCTGTAGTGATTTTTGAGCTATACTTATTTGAAATTATTGGGTTTATTCAATTTTTATTTAATTTTGTATGGATAAAATTGTTTCAAAATGTTACATTCATCATAAGTTGTATTTGGTGGTCAAAAAAAACTGATCATTATGTAATAGTTTTTTGTAAGTTAATGAAAATCGTATAAATCACGTTATTTCAAAATATGTTTAATGGAATTTCGCTTGGAATAATTTGTGATTCATTAGTAGATTTACCTTTGAATACACAGATATCAATTAAATAGGTAACTTTGTGTTAGGGTGTGCTGGCGAGAATAATAGAGCATTGGATTTCAACCTTTTACGATTCATGACCCCCTATTTTTTTTTTCATGTAAGACGACCCCTTAACTTAAATAATATAATATACAGTATACATGATACTCATTATTATTTTTGGCGATTCTTAACTATCACTCGTATGGTCGAGTACACTCGTATATTGGGTCGCGACCCCTATAGGTTGAAAAGCACTGTGCTAGAAGATAACCTTCCCGGATACACTAACACTGTACATAGTGCATGTGCGTGCCATTCGCTAAATTTTTTATGGAAAACAGGTTGCATCGAGTTACTGTGAAGATGACTAATTTTTTGGAATTGCGAAAATTGTACAATTTATTTAGTTCTAATCTTCAAAGATGGGAGATTCTTCAAGAGAAAATTGGGTGCTCCCTACATTCAATGTTATAAACCCGCTGATCTGCAAGAGTGGAAAGTGTAAAGCCAATAGCGGCTTATGTCCCTGGTTGAAGATTTGAATGAGGTTTTACTCTTCAACTTATCAACAGAGTGTCGAAGGGACGTCGAAGGACTTAAAACATACTTACAATGTTTTAACTGTTTAGTGTTGGCGTTCATTTCGTTTAAAACTTTAAAAGAAATTGACTTCGTTAACAAAGCTATTTAAGATCGAGGAGCAACTATTGACCTAGTCAAGGAAAAATATTGTAGTCAGTGAAAAATTACAGAATCTAATGAAGTAACTTCAAAATATATGAAACGAATGATGTGAATAAATCTAGAGTGAAGCTGCAATTGTTGCTAGAAACATTGGTCCGCTAAACAAATTGAATGATCAAAAAAAAAAAGATGGAAAATGAAAGAGAATGTTCGATGAGTAAGAAGCAGATTTAACAGAAAAAAATGATACATAACTTATTTTCAAAAGGAATATTTTATGTAATTTTGGATGAAATAATTGCAAATATAAACATAAGTGATTTGAATCACTGAAAAAATTGTTGATTTTTTCTCAACCTTTTGAGAGTTTAAATGTATATGCCAGAAGATAAAATTAAATCGAAATCTAGAGATTTAGTTTTAAAATATAACAAAAATTTGCAAAAAGATTTAATGAATGAGTTACAAAGTCTTAAGAAAGTTTATACTTCTAATTTTGGACATGAACAATGAAACTCCTTCGAATTGCTAAATCACTTGCACAAAACCAATCTTGCTAACATGTTCCCTAATTTATATATTACATTACATATCTTTTGGCTACCCTTGCAACTATTTGCAAGTACAAATCTGCAGTCTTCTAAGCGAATATAAGTTAATATGACATCAGACATAAAGGTTTTCAGTTTTTGTGGTCTGAAGCGGTGGTATTCAAGAGTAAAAATTGTCTAACCTTCTTCTTCATGAAATTGACTCGAAGACACCCCTGAGCTTATTAACCAAGCTCCGCTCATAATCGTTTCTTGTTGACAATGATTAAATTTGCTTAGGTATAGGTATACATTAAATATCCCTCAATATCCTACTTTCTTAACTTCTCATCTATAATAGTGGTCCACCCATCGTGCGATGTGTGTCCGTCTTTTTTTCTAATCAATCATTAATATTAAATTTAGTTACTTCACCCTCCCTTCCATAGTCAGGATCCGGAAATGCCCCTGATGGATAAGCCATGCTGGTTGTCAGACTCAGGGGTTCTTTTACTTTGTATCTCACTTAGGATACTCAGAAGTAAGCAATAATGTAACCATTTTAAATTGAAATTGTATTTTTTGGAAATTTTAAGTGTAGTTGAAGATGATATTTTCAAATATTTAGATTTTTCAATACATTCAAGGAGTATCCTGTGGTGATGGGTACCAACTTTGGTTTTTCAAATGAGAATCTATAATACAAATTCCATTAATAGATGTAGTATTAATTCAAATAAATGTTGATGTTTAAATTTTTTTTTTCGTCAACCCGTTGACGAGATATTCGACTTTTAAGTTTATGGTAGGGGAAGAGTGGTGGAGTATCATTTGTGTGGTGGCACGCCATGAAGCGTTTTGTTAGTGCTCTACTACTCTCCTCCTACTTAAACTTAAAAGTCGAATATCTCGTCAATTGGTTAACGCCTTGACGGAAATCAAGAATTTTAGCACCAAAATGTATTTAAACTTATAGGTACTCTATCTATTTATGGAATTTTAATATAAGCTTTCATTTGAGAAAACCAAAGTTAGTATCGCCATAGGATACTCCTTATGTGTTAGGAAAAATTTAAGTATTCGAAAATATCAGCTTTAACTACACTTAAAAATTTCAAAAATCAGAATTTAAATATTTGCAAAATTTAACCAAAAAAATGGAGTGAGCACGCTTAGTGAATTACTTAGTAGACTATATAGTCAGGAGAGGATTAACCCTCGGTGGTATTTATGTTTCAAGCCCAAATTTTTATTTGTGGTCAAATTAGGAAAATAATTTCTATTCCTATTCATACAACCTTACATATAAATTGTATGGATTCGATTAAATTTACCCCCCAAATTTTTATTTGTGGTCAAATTAGGAAAATAATTTCTATTCCTATTCATACAACCTTACGTATAAATTGTATGGATTCGATTAAATTTACCCCCCCCCTCTCCTCAGAAACTAAAATCTTCAGCTCGTCTGTTTGTATTGTGAAATCAACGGCAATCGATAATGTAGGTTATTATTTAGGTGAGTATCTATAACTTTTTTCTATTTTACACATATTTTTTTAATACTGCCAACGCATTCGGTGATGTTCGCATGTGAATCGAGGAACGATGTCATGGACTAGACAAGACAAGTGCATGTTTCCGAAAGGCAAAGCAATCATTTATCATTATCTTAACTACAAATTATTATAAAATTACACTTGCATACACTTGGATGTATCGTGTAGGTACGGTAATTATAGTGACCCGGAGCGGATGACGATCGAATTTATCCCCACTGCCGGTACGACGAACGGCCTTCAAAAGTATAATAACATAATAACATGGGCAAATAGGCAATACTGCAATAGGAGTCGACCGTAATCGTTGTCACAAACAATATAATATAAATTATAGCACTGAAGGTATTCGGATACCGTGGTTTAATCTTTTATCTACGGTTTAAATACACCCATTGTAACCGTTATCTGTCGCCTACCGCCGTTGTTGTCGAGGATAATATTTCATGCCGGCTGGGTAAACAAAAATCATAGCTATAGTTGTTTCATTGTTTGCCTGTTAGTTGTTCAGTCGTTTAAATCCAATCGTTGGCACTGGTTCTGTCGTCTCGTTCATCGCTTGTATTATTTTTTTTATTAATATATTCGAATACATATTCCGTGAGTAAGTATACAGTAGATAGGTGTAGGTACTTAACCTATACCAATATTGTAAATTATATATTTTATAGTATTTGTTTATACCTATTAGCCACCTAACCGTTTTGCTATTCAATTTTAACAGTGATAATATTATGAACTGTTTTACTTTTTCAGTACCATAAACCGTGAAAATGTCGTACAAGCTCACGTATTTCGATGTCACTGCTTTGGCCGAACCCATTAGATTTCTCCTGTCTTATTTGGAAATCGATTTTGAAGATAATCGTTTCCAACGCGAACAATGGCCATCAATTAAACCAAGTAAGTTTCAATGTTGGGCAATAAGTTGGCCAGAAATTCAACCGAATTATATTAGTCAAAATATAGATGATGCTATGATAGGTATTTGTTGATTTGATGGTGTTTTGCTCTCTCTGTTTTGTGCCCGTATAAAAAACTGATTAGTGGATGGTTTGTCTTTGGCTGTAGGACATTTAGTCTCTTAAAATTATTAATCATAGAACGTTTCGTCCCATGGACCCCTTGAAATAGTAAGCAAAATGTATTTTTTATTTATTCCAAATCAAATACAAGCAAGTATGAATTATATATATAAATAACAAAATAAAAAAACCTTACCTAGTTATTTCATAATCAAATTTGACTATGTACAATGTACATGTCTATTATTATTATTATTACATGTCTATATCAGGTACCTATCTATTGTAGCCGATACTTAATAATAATAATGTATTTAGTATTATCACAAGAAGTTTTAATGTATTAAATGTTATTTACTAGTAAATCTTATGGGTAATGAAAAACTAATATTTTTTTTTTTAACTCACTTTTAAGTAGAAGTTTCACTTTATATTGTTTAAGTATTTAAATTTGACAGATGATAACAAATAATATCAGGGACCAAATTTCCTGTTTTCAATACTGTGGAGACGTTTATCATATAATGTGCCTTATTATGGATTAGGTACTGTAGGAATTTCATTACCATATTAAGGAAGATTAAATATTTAAGTAGGTACTAGTAATTTGTACCTACCTGAATAAAATATTAACTTCAATAATTTCAAAACAATTTCAAAATTTTATCTTTTTTTTTTTATAAATCTTTATATGGGCATTAAGTAGGTAAGTTTTTAAAAATATATTTTTTCTTTCTTTTAAAAGTACGATGGTACTACTTACTGATAACAATAACATGTTACAACATATAACCTAATACTCAATTAAATATTTAATGGCACTCAAGATTTCACTAATAATTTTTTATTTTATTTTATACAATATCAAGTTTAAATGGTATAATTATCAAGACTATTATCATTTAATTGCTTATGTACTGTTTAATAAGTTATTTATTTTATTATTAATTATCTCTGATTAGATGTTAATTGACAATTGTTTATATTTTTTTTTATCATATAATATACCGCTATAAGTAATTAAGTGTTTAATGTGCATACAGTATAAATACTTAAATAATAAAATATTATTATCTTGGTTATCTCATACAATTTTCTAGTTCGAAGGAGAAACTAATCTTAAATAGAAAATATAAATCAAATAAAATATTATTTGTACATTAGCTGATCCCATTTCTTTTCAACTAAATAATTGTATACAAATAAAAACAAAAAAATGTTAAATGCCTATAAATAGCTCAAACATTTTACCACATTTAGAAAAAGTAATTATTAGAATTCTGTACAATTTTAATTCTACTGTAAAATTTATTAACTGAATTATAACTGAAAAAAGAAAATCAATATTATTCTAAACTTTTCCCGTTTTTTTGTGGTTTTTCACAATTATTAAGAAAACTACAAGGAACAAAGTTATTTTATAAAAAACTAGACAAAATTTTATTTCAAAAAGATAACACTTCTGAAATTGGGGACAAGATTTCTGGTGGAAAAAATAATCAAATATTTGACGCTTTAAATTTTTGTCCATTTTTTTTTCGGTTTGTCCAATTTATTATGATCAGTGGGTGGATCAAGTGAGGACAACAGGGTCATTTGCTTCTCCTCCAAACACCGTAATGGAGTAGTATGTTTTGGTTCATAAGATCCTTAAATTTACTATATTTTTAATTTTGCCTCTTCCTAAATTAAGCTCTGGGTCTGCCTGGTTAATTTTTTAAAAAAAAGGTGTATCAACTTTAATTAACCAGTCCTCAAAATAAAGTGAAATAAACCATCCAGATTAACTCCTGTTGTATCTAGAATTTGGAGGCCCATCCTTAATCCAAGAATCATACATATGGGTTGTCTTATACACAATATATGGCGAAAGAAGTTACCCAGATCCAGTGCATGCAAACATAACTGACATTGAGTATTTAATAGAGTTCATAATTTTTTCGGGATAATTGCATCCTTTTTTGATTATAAATTTTAATCGCCTCGATTGATGAGTTAGGGCAATGGCTTAGATTAGTTTCATCATAATCAATCAAATTTTCAAGTTCAACTTCTTTTATAGATTTTTCAAGGTTATTGAAATATAAATGTAAAGTCTGAAGAAACTTGTTCTCCAGCTCGTTTAATATTTTGGCTAAGTCTTTGAATTAACACATCCTTTTAATGTATTAAAAATGATGGGCGAAGTCATAACCAGGCATGTTGTTTTAAAATTGTTTTACTATTTTTCTTTTCCTATTAAAATAAGATTTAACAATGCATCTTAAATCTAAGGTAGTTAACGGATATTTCCAATTTGAACATGTGACTTATTGTTTGGTCAATATTTTTTTAACTTCATCACTTAAAATAGTTTGACCACCTTGTTTTTTAATGTTTTTGCTTGGATTTTCCTTAAATTTTTTGTGTCTGTTCAATACAGTTGTAGAAATTCCATGATTTTTGGAACAAATACAAAAAGTAAGTCCACTCTTCAAGTCTGTCTAAGCAGCTGCAATTTGGGCAGTAGTGTATATTTTACTATAGAACTTTTGAAGTTTTGTTCCCTGGTAAATACGTGCCATATTTGAGACGATTCTAAAAATAGAATAGTACCTAATTATAATCTGTAATAAAATTTGTGTACACAACATAGTTTAAAATTAATAAATAAACACTGAACATGAAATCAAAGCATGGTCTTAGAAGTTTTTTTTCTTAGTTCTTCTAAGATCGTCAATTAAATTAACAAATCTAAACAACATTTGGAACACAACAATATAAGTCCAATCCTTATCGGTAGATTATCTGTGATAACAGAGTAATTATAAATATCTTTTTCTGATTTTGTTCCTATTGCACCTTCATTTCCTATACACCTCATTTTATGGTACTAAATAAAGATCACATATTTATTGAAAAATATAGTTGTACTTTTTCAATATTCATAACTTTGTGAAAATACTAGTTACACTACTGATTATTATAATAATTGTATATTCTGCTGCCATACAAAAAAAAAAAAACATAATTCCAAAATTCAAACTTTCAGAAAAATATGATTTTAGTTCTGTACTTATAAAGTGTAAAGTGCAGCATTTTATATGTTTTTAATATTTATAACTAAAATATACTTTTTAATATTTTAATAATTTTACATTGTGTATTTGGTACAAATATCTATCTTATCTAAAATATGAGCTCTATTAACATGCATAATGTGGATAAATCTACCTTGAAGTGGTTATTTATTTTTATGTATAAATAATTTTAAATTGTTTATATTTATTTTAGCCATGCCTTTTGGTAAAGTCCCAGTGTTGGAAATTGATGGAAAAGTAGTAAATCAATCTACAGCAATAACTCGTTATTTGTCCAAAAAAGCTGGACTAGCTGGTGATGATGAATGGGAATCTTTGTTGATAGATATTGCTGTTGATAATATTCATGATTTAAGACAAGGTAAATAAAAAATTACATATCTTTTGTTTAAAAACACTATAAATTAACTAATATGTATTTTATTCTTATAGCTCTAGCTTCTTATTCATACGATACGAATGAAGAATCCAAAGCTGCCAAATACGGACCTTTGATCAACGAAACTATTCCATTTTACATGGATAAATTTGAAAATATTATTGGTGAAAATAATGGCTACTTTGTAAATGGAAAGGTAATCCAATATTCATAACTTTTAAAATCCATTTAGCACTTTTTGGTGCTTATGAAAAAGTAAATAAAATCAGTCTATATAACAATTGCATTCTAAAAATCCTGTTTTGAGATGATGTAGACCTTCATTTGTCTATCTAAAACTGGTGTATTGTTATTTGTTATCAGTTTTTATCTTTTATTTAAAACAATTAAAATTAATTTCGAAAAATCATTTACGAATGATAGATCAAAGTTACTACCAGAAATCTTCGTTGATGTTTTTATTGAGCAAGTTTTCTTGTTAAACTGTAAACGGATAGGAAACAAAAAATTCAACACGTCACTGTTAAATCAATCTAAAAGTTAGTTGGTTAATTTAACACAAAATTAATATTATTTTCAGTTGTCCTGGGCTGATTTATTCTTTGTAGCTGTTTTGGACTACTTGAACTATATGGCAAAGATCGACTTATTAGAAGGTCGTCCAAAACTACAAGCACTGAAGGAGACAGTAGTTGCCTTACCTCAAATCAAAGCGTGGATTGAAAAACGTCCTAAAACAGATCTTTAAATATATATATTTATATATAAAAAAACAATTTTATTTTTAACTTAACAGTATTTAAAAACTTCATTATGATGAATTGAATTTCTTTTAATTTTATAACAACAATAATGTATGCATTATTTTTATTCAATATAACATAAACATTATATCCATATATATATAAATATATTAATCATATTCATTTTTGTGTGATAATAAAGCATATTTGAAAAGTTAATGGCTAACTCATTAAGTATTATTTGATTGAGTGGCATAAGCTGGACTTCTTTTGTTTACATCAAAGGTGTGCAACCCACAACTCACTTAGCGGCTTTATACTTTCAGTAATAGCAATGTACAATTTGTATACAAATAATGTACACTACGATATCTTTGTTAAAATTATTGAACAAAAATAGGTACATATACATTGTACACATCAACATTTAATTTATCATCCATAATAATTGTACTAAATGAAATATGACTAAGTATTACGAAATTATTTTTATAGTAAGTTGTATTTATCTTGTTCTGTGAGTGATATTTTAGATTCTGAGTAATGCGAAGAAGCTTATGGTTTTATAATGACGTTTATTTATTTTTTTCGGTGGACAACTTTGCTACCAGCAATCTGATTTTCAATGATAGCACTTCATCTGAAAGAAAATTGGACTGGGGAGGTACTTTAAGGAGTTAATTTTTTAATTTTCTCAATGAATCGAAAAAAAACCGAGAAAATGGGAAATTAGGTACAATATTAAACAAATATTATTAAAAATAAATGTTTAATGCAAATGTAATTATTTTACCAAAATATGATATAATATATATTATTGACTCAGCAATACTATCAACCTCAGTATTGTTTTTTTGATTAATTGTTGCTTACTGATATACACTAAATTCCCATCTATATCCTACCTTCCTAATTTTCCACCTATAACAGTGGCTGCATTTGTCCCATTATCCTAGTACTGAATTTTATACATATTAGGGCTATGGCTCCTAAAATAAAAATTAACAATGAGCATTGTACTTTCGAAGAAGTTTGGACTGATTGGACTAAACATATCTCTTTTATCAAACACAGTGGTAAGTTATTAGGGTTCAGATGTTTATGAAATTGCATATTTTTTCTGTCTATCCAATTCAATGCTAACCTGAATATAAATTTGATTATGTTCTTCTGAATCAAATATTATTTTTATTTTCCATATTTTATGGTTTTGCATTTTAATTGTATATTTCAGGATTTTAAGAATATAAATGTATACTTTAATACATTTTTGAACTTTTTTAAAAACAATTTAAATTAATAACGAAATATAAAACAAATACAAATTTAAAAAAAAATTGTACGTATCACACTAATACTTTTATTGTAAATTAATATGTAATACCTATTAAACAAATATGTGCATATAACTACTAATTTAACCTTAATTTTTTGTGTTCATATTTTGTTGTTTTTTTGAAGTAAAAATTAATATTTTATGATTTTTATAACATATTAGTTATTTTAAGTGTATGAACATCCGGACCCTAGGTATTGTTTAATTAATAATAAAACCATAAAACTAATGAAGGAATACAATGTCAAGTGACATTTGAAAATTTAACCTATGAATTAAGAAAACAAACAAAATAAAACATTTTTAACATCTTTAAGTAGCCAATCAAATATTTTTAAATCTTAAAATATACGTAACTAGTCATTTGTACGAGTATGTTATGTAGTTAGAAATGTTAGCAAATAACAATCGCCCATACACCAATACTGAGTTTTTTTAAAAATGTATGTAAGCTGTAGCTAATGAAGAATGTCCAGAAAAAATAAAACTATTTGAAGCATCAGTCTATCAACTCAGACACGAGTGAAACGGACTGAGGAATTGGGAAATAGTTTATTTTCACTATTAAAAGATATATTGTAATTAGACTGTCTTTCAATCACAAACATTTCTGACACAGCTCCAATTTTTACTTTTGTATTTATTTTATTACTATGACGTGTTACTGTTATTATAGTTTTGTTTGTATAAATTAATATGCCAAACAGTGATGAATTTAAAAAAATTAAATTTGATATGACTTGTTTAAATAAAACAAGATGTTTTGATACCAAAAAGGTTGTCAATACATCAATAGTTAATAGTCAATAGTTGATAGATAATTTGACGCCGCCAAGGTTGCAACGAATCAAGTCTTGATTCAATTTTTGTTGTTTATGATTTATCTACGACTGCATTCTGATACAAATTTGTTTTTTTATCAACGACGGAAACAGTCTTATGTATCGTAATTCCAAAGACAATATAAAGAAAGGACAGACATAGATACTTTGCATGTGGGTGCAGCCATTGTTGTAGGTTGGAAGCTAGGACACAGATGGGAATTTAATGTATATGTGTAAGCCACGATAAACCATTGCTAATAAAAAAACGATTCTGAGCAGAGTTCAGTTGATAGCGTTGCTTTGTCAACAATACAATAGGTACATGGTATATATCAGTGGCGCCGAAATCTTTTTAAACCACTGGAGTAAACCCTATTTGAAGATAACACCTACCCACCCATCGAAGTCGAATTCAGGGGGTCGGTCTCGGAGTCTACCTGTTTTCACGAAATATTTTTATAATGCTCACGTCCAATATTTTGTTTTTAATATAAAACTATTTTACTAGTAAAATATTAATTAGCAATTTTGCTTCGATTTATAATGATAGCACTTTTTCTAAAAGGAAATTTAACCGGGAAGGTATTTTAGGGTGGTCATTTTTCTATTTTCCCAAGAGTTTTCCCAGCAAATGTAAAAAACTGAGAAAAATATAGGGAAAGTAGAAAAATTAGTACATTAAACAAATACTATTAAAGAAAATATATAATGTTTATTAAATTATTTTATTATAATATGGCAAATTGCTGACAAATTATCACTATTAACTGAACTCTGCTCAAAATCGTTTTTTCGTTAATAATGGTGTAACGCTGCTTATAGGTATACATTAAATTCCCTATAACTGTGGCTGTATCCGTTCTCATTATCCTAGGACGGCTCTTTTTTTTTGTGTTTACACTTTTTTTTACCAAAAAGCTCACTCCGATGTAGGTACATGATGTATATATTTTAGACCTTTTTCTAGAAGGAAATTTTTTTGTGGTAATACTTTAGGGAGGACATTTTTGACTCCTAGTAGTTTTCACAACAATTGGGAAAAACGGACAAATATTTACAGTGTTAAGATTTCATGTTTTTATGTTTTTAAAATTTATGATTTCTACAAGGAATAGATATTGCTTTATTCAAAAAATGACAAAATACTTTTTCCGTTGCATTTTGGATTTAGTTGCTTATGGAGGAAGTCGTTCATTGATTTTATAACTTATTATTATAATTTATGTAATTAGTCACTAAATACCTAATATCAAAATTTGTTTATTTTCTGTTTTTCCTTTTTAATAATTATTATTTCTGTTCGTGTGGGAATTTACGTACGGGTACATTTTTTTTACGTCGGAACTTACATATGAATACACCTACTTACCTGCTATGTTTCGTGTGGGAACTTACCGAGCCCACTAGCATAAGCTGACGTGGAACCATTTATATCTTTAGCCGTGTTAAGGGTACTGAGTGCATATTATATTAGAGGCTAGTCTAGTGGATAGTGCTTACTGGCATACTACATTGAGGAATCTCTCAACTATAAATACTGAGTCTTGTTGTCTGTATAATACTTAGTATTTACACTATATTATATAATAAAAACAGTCACCCACCGGCCACGACCCACCCACCCACCGGCCACGACCCACCCACCCACCAACCTGAAAATGTTCTGAGGTATTTAACCAACTTGCATAGGCGTGTGCACGGGTGCAGCGAAAGCAGTATTCGCTGCACCTGACAATTAATTTTGGATTTATTGGGCTGGTAGAAATTTATTTGAAAGGCACACATAGAATGAATAATTTAAAATTTTAAAACATGTTGAATTTATAATTAAATTAAAATATAAATATTCAATGTTATTCAAATGAAAAATGATAACACCGTTAATACTATTTTATCAATACGACGAATCTAAAAATAGATGGGTTTTATGTTAAGACACAACCACAATAGCTCAGCGATACGAAAACAGATTAGATATAATCGAATAATAATATCAGTTATAATCAGTAATCACAAAACCTAATCGACTATTATATTTTTAATTTAAGAACGTTATTTCACTGATACTGCAGTTTGCATCAAGTATTCAAATCAGACCTCGTTCTAGTGTTCTGTCTTACTCATGTCGAGAAAACGACCCGGTGTTCAGGAAAAAGTTCGTACAAAGAAGACTTTTACTGTTGAAGACTAGTGAAAAGTTTCCTAAGATAAAAGATTTTATTTTAATTAAAAAAAAAAAAAAATCTGAAATAAAAGAAATAATAGCAGGTAAGTAATTATTATTAGCATTACGGCAGTAATGTAATTTTATTAAGTTGTATCCACCTATATGTAATTCGTAGGCGGTGATTAGGGGGTCCTATGTCCTGTGTAGACTATAAAATCAAATGTTAAGGACATTCTTACATAATAAATAATAATATAATATTACCTATTTTGTATTTTTATATTTATAAAAGTATAGAGTAATATATTGTATTACATAAAAATATTATTACTTTTTATTTACAATTTACTAGATTTCTTATAACCATAATAAGCATAAGCGTAGAGTGATGAATGTATATGGAAAGTGCTATACGCCATAATGATTCGGGTACACAAGTGATTATATGAACGTATAAAATATTACATTTTTACACAATGGGGCTAAACAGAATTCAAGGGAGTGTCCTTTTAGCCCCTTCCTATTCTACGCATATAGTAATAAAGGAAATAAATGGGCTGCTTATTCTTTTTTAGGGCTTGTTAAAATTGTATGCTGTACTCGACACAAAATCCTGCGTACGCGTATGTCCACTTGTCATAAGTGTTCAGCGCCACTGTATACCATATTATGGTAAAATGATTACACCAATGTGCGTTTCCATGACAACTATGATTTTGTTTAAAAAAGATTTAAAATATTAGAAATTTAATAATAACGAAAAATAAATAAAAACGGTTGCCAATGACAACTTTATTTTTAATCTTCCAATCTTTTATAAGCTAAAGAACCAGATTTTCCTCACTATCTCGAATATTAATGAGAATTTAAAAAAAGCATCTCTTTTAAGTACTACCCAGAGACTATTTCCTTTCAGAAAAGGTTCTATACTTGATAATCGGAGTATGCTTTCTGATAGAAAAAGTGTTCACATAAAAAAAAAAAAAAAAAAAACTTTATTGTAAAACCAACCAATACATCCCTCGCTCCATTCAGAATCTAAAATAATATATTAACTTATTTTGATAATTAATATTAATTCCCATAATATCCATTGGAAAATTATGAAGCCTTATAAGTATTAAGTCGTTATCACGTGTGAAGTGACTCATTTTTTGATAATATTGAGGGCCGTCAATTAATTAACGATTTCGATAACAATGCAAATTGTACATAAATGCAATATACTAATATTAAAAATATATTTATTATTTAATAGAGTTATTTTTTGTAACATGTAATTATTATGTATTATATTTATTAATGTATGAAATGTATTATTTAATGAAGTACCTATATTTAATCTCAATGAAATGCTATAATTTTTATTTTTTGAGAGGGAAAGAGGAAAACTTGCAATACATACAATTCTTTAAATATTTTGATTTATTATAATTATTTATTTCAAAGAGATACCTAATACTCTTTGGGATAGAGAAAGAATTATATTACCTTAATCATAGATGCTGGGATAAAATGTTGTGTTTTTTAGTACAGGCTATTTATATTTATTAGAGATAATAATATACTATACAACCATATTCACTTAGTATATTATAATATTATTAATGTGTCAAATTAGTGACTATCATTAAGTACTGAGCAGTATAAAGTTAGTATCTAACGTCCTAACTTCTCATGTTTATAAAAAAAAAAAAATGTTTACGTTTTTAAAAGAAATCATTTAAGTAGTACATTTTAGTTTCTGAGACAAGCGAAGAATATATTAGTTTTACTACGAGTGTATATATAAACTTCTTTTTTCTATAACATTTGAACACATTATGAAGAAAATTCATTATTCAAATTAAAAATGAAAAAAATGATGTATTTTAATGTTCATCAGCAAAATCAACTTTCAGTAATAACTTGCTTCAGAAACAAAGTTTGTTACGCCTATGTTGTTGCCTTAAAAGTATATAACTTTGAATGATTAGATATACCTATATCTATATTTTTTTATAGGTAATAATTTACCATAATTAGATCACGTGCAATCACGATTCACGGGGATCAGTTCTGTCCCGCTAGTCTATTTTACCCCGTATTCCCCTATATTATTATTAAGTGGGCTCGATACCACCTGTGTTTAAGGGAAAGCGTATCTGTATTAGGTAATGTATTTGAAAATTTGGAAAAAATGATCATTTATCAATTCAAACACATTCAAATTTACTTTAAATATATTAACAAATATCCAAGTGTTATAATAAATGGGAAAGTATTTTGAAAACAGAGCCCTCACTGCTGTCGGTGAAAACAGAAAAAAAAGATTCATAACAAAACAGTCTAGACATTTATTACGTAATCATGAAATAAACAACAATGGAGAAACCTTTTCACCAGGTCAAAAGAACTCGGCCTATAGTTTCAATTAAGAAAATTAATGTTCAGTTTCGCTATAAAAAAAAGAAAATTCGCACTGTATAACGTTAGTTTTATTTATTCAATATGATGACTACGAAAAAAGTTATTTGAATTCGAACAACTTTAAATTGAATTGAAGTGTGATGTAAATATACGTGTGAACAGATTTTAGATAATATTATACTCTAGATAATTATACGCATATTGTTTATTGTGTGTTATGGAACGTACTCGGTCGACCGAGTTATCCTATCCCTATGGCACCGTCCGGTATGTAATCTAATAACATGCGTATTGTCATGTTCGTTATAATAGTTTTTATGATAGATATTATGAGGAGAATCCGAAACCCGAATACACACCCGTATATTGACGAACTTAACGAAGCTTAACAAACGAAGCTTAACGAAGGTTAATAATGCTTAACGAGGCTTGACAAAAATAAATATAAACACTTGAACCTCACAAGAATACATATACGTTTGAAATAACATTTAAGTACACATTTTTCAATGAGTATAGCGTATTATTTTCCCCAGAAAAAGCAATCCTGCGAACATTATGTTCGAAAGGATTCGGGGCATACCGCGATATGATTGCGGTCAGGACGTATTATGATATTAAGTATATTTTTAAATTCTATGTATCACACCTAATAGCACATAATATTACTATAGATTAGTATTAATAGACAGGGGAAAAATCGCTGGAAAAATAAAACGTTGTCTAAATTGACCGACCGGTTCCCGCTACCGTTTAAATTGTCGTGTATAATATTTCTTAACAATCCTTAATTGGACGGATTCTGTAGCACAGTCTGCAATCCCTCATTGTTCTCGTCGTCGTAGTCGCATTATATCAGTCGTCCGAACTTGTGCGATTATAACGAAATTGAAAAAAATATTATAACAACAGTCGTTGGTATCGTTCTCGTGTTCGACGTTCGTCGTCCGTCGTCCCGCTGTCTCGCTGGTTTTTCGTGTAATATTCGCATAATACTTGTACGCGTATTTTTTTTTAACGTTATTCGAATATCTAAGTAATAACTAGTTTTTGTTCTTATTATTTTTTTTGCCGAAACGTTTTTCCGACGTCCCACCTTATCATGTACCACGTAAAAAACACTAATCGATTATTCCAGGCGGTGTGCGCGTATTACTGTTTGGCGCTGGCGTCGTCCGCTGGCCATGAAAAGTACAGATACTGCGAAAATTTAAATCCCCAGAATGCTATTAGTATCAACTTGGTACGCGATGTTAACGATAATTACTATATTCAGTGTTCGGATTTATGTAGACTTAAAATGACTTAATTTGTTTACTTATGTTTTATCTTATCTAGATGTAGTGCTCGAATTGGGAAAATAAAAGAAGAGGGACTATAATAGATTTAAAAAAAATTAGCATCCCTTGCAATTATTGAACTCAACTTAACCCGTTAGGAGCAAAGCATAATACGTAATACAATAATTAATATTTTTAAAACAAACACTAATAAACACTAATGCAAGCTAACTTTTTACTTACTCGATAATGGTTTTTTTAGATTTTACTATGATTATTACTACTAAGATACTAAAACATACTATGATATTTGATTTTGTAATTCATTATTAATTTTTAATTTAAAGAAACTACGGAATATTCTTAGAGAACTTTTGACAGGTCACTTCGATTTAAAGGAAACTTTTATTTTATTTTGGATTATTACAAACAAGGATAATTTTTTCACAGATTTAACAATGTATTGTGTATATTTGGAGGGAATGTCATAGGGTTTTTGTGTTATTCAAAATATACAGCTCGTTATAAAAGATACAAAAATATTTCTTTTTTCTTTTTAAATAACTGTAACTTTTTTAGAAGTTCATAATTTAAAAAACGCATAATATTCCATTCAAAAAATTGTTTTATGTACATTTGATAATAGGTACTTTTAATAAAAATTAAGCTCGTTTTAATTATTCTGCGTAAGCATTGTTTTTGCATGTTACCCGATAGTTGGACTGATACAGTTGATGCAAGTATAACGTCCTCAAAAAAATTACGTGAGGCAATCTACTAAAAGTTGAATATTATGATTGATATTGATCAATGTATGCTCGTTCAATGATATTACTTTTACCATTTAACTTCGAATATTGAATATTATCTTGAAACTAAAATATCCCGCACTTTGAGAGGTTAGGTTTTGAAAATATTATGGGGGGCTCACTATTTTATAAACACATGCACAGTTTTACCTAAATTTTACCATACATTAACTATTTTTATTTTCCTTAAATTTTTCGTTAAACAATTACTAAAATAAAGTTATTTGTTGTTTTGTATGTTATAACATTTTAATAATATTAGCATGAAAAATCAAAAGACAGAAATTAAAAAATACCAGATACCAGTTAACCATTACCTGGTTGACTACCAATTAAAATTGACTATCTAAAATTGTTCTCTGCTATCAATATAAAACAAAATAAAACCTTGTAGGTTGCTTAAAGATAAGGAACACACAGTTCATGTATTATAATATGTCTAATATTTATACTTTTTACGACCTATTGTGTTCGTCGTTGAAAATCAACCTTCAAAAATCAATTTTATTTGGTAAATTATATTTTTAAAAAAAGTTTCTTTATAGTTTTATACACGGGTACAATAAAACAAATGGTCTATTGAGATATTTAAGTTTTCGATGTATATTTTTATTATTAATGCCCATAGATTCTAATTTGTTCTGAAAAAATCCCAAGTGTTGCCAGTATTATAGTAATGCATTTTGCTATTTTTTACAGACAACTGGTATATGGTACATGATTGTAGTATACAATCATAGAATCAAAGGGGAACCAATGGGTCAGTTACTTAGTGTATGTCCTTCTATTAACTTGACATACGCTAACGAACACACTGACACAGAACTAAATTTTTTGTGGAAGGAGACCGTGTCCTCCATTGAATATCAGTTTAAAATTATCGATATAACTTCCCCTGGTACGTGGATGTCGATCGGAGAGCAAAAAGGTAAATTAACAAAAACAATTTTCATTATTATTTTTTTAATTTTAAATATGTTGGATATACATTTTTAACCATTAAACCCTGACGTCAAAAGGCACTTAGAACTTTAACCTAATATACTTATTTTAGAAATATGTATTATTTTTAGAGGCATTTATATATGCGTAGAGGGGAAGCAGAGGAAGTAACTTCCTCATCATGGAGATTTTCTGCCAAAGTATTAATAAAAAAAAAAAAATATTTAAAATTTAAAAAATTTTTGTCATTATATAGATGCTTTAATCATATGTATACATGCAATTTATATAATTTCTTATTAATTATTATCATAAAAGTATAAATGTTACATTGATGTTTTCTTTATTTATATTTTATTCAAAGACTAATATTATTATGATGTAGTTAATTGAATGTCTTTTTTTTCATACTATTATTGAAATGGACTTATTTAAAACGACTGTGGTGTTTTTGTTTTACGAAATTGTTTAGTACAGGTATCGTGTTGGCTGAAAACTTTTTAAAAGGTAATTGAAAAAGCGAAAATGCGTGTTTTGATACATATAACTTATGTTTCAAAGTGATCCATTTAAGTGGGTACAGTCATTGTCTTGGAAAGTGTTTAATTTTTTTCAGAATTTATTTTGTAAATCATTTTTGAAATGTATCGAGTGTGAGCTTATACCAATGCAACAATTTGTCATAGGTTCGGTGTTGGCATTAGACAACTTCAAAAATTTCACGGGCAAGGTGTTCGTCAAGAAGGCGGTGAAAGACCACATGTGGTTGACGTTCTGTTCGCCAGACACTTATCTCTACAGCTTGGTGTTGTCACGGGGCGAACGTCTGCGCCCTAGGGTGATGGAAGGTATCAATAAACTCATTTCTATGCAACAATTTCCAGTCTCGGATCAGATATGGACGAGTTGTGGGCGCTAATAATAAACTACACCTGTATTATTTGTTATTACCTATTAAATATTAAAAGTTTAAAGTAGTGATAAAATTAGTTAACTATATAGGTACAATATATTTTTGAATACAAATTATATAAATACTAAATCTATTTTTTTTTGAAAATACTTTATATTGACTTGTGAGCTCTATAAAAAAATATAAAATAAACGCTGGAATAAGTATAGTAAAATATACTTAATTATTATATCATACATAAATTAGCCCCTAATGACTAATTTCTTTACGGTCCGTAAAGTACTTAATCCGATTATGGGTATGGAATATGGATACAACAATCCAGACTTATTGAAAACATTTCAGTTGGCGCATCTGAAACTTTGACATGCAAGTTATTTCGAATTTTATTTTTCAAATTGGTAAATGTCAATATTATTATTTCATATCGGTTTTAAAAATATTCGATAGAATAATTGAATATTGATCAAAAGACTAACAAAAGTACTAAAGGTGACATAAAATAGTAGTAGCAGCTATAATAGTACTGCTAATTAAACTGAAACTCTACTCAGAACCGATTTTTCGTAAGCAATGGTTTATTGTTGCTTATAAATATACATTAAATTCCCTTCTGTATACTACCTTTCCAACTTCTCATCTACAATAATGGTTGCACCCACGTGCGAAGTATGCCCGTTTTTTTTATCTCAAATTCTTAACCATGCATAAATGAACTTCACATGAGTTATGTTTTACAATATTTTTATCACAGCTTCTTTTAATTTCAATGTCAGCACTGAATATGAACTTTTATATTATGAACTTGATGGCTTGGACACATAAGCATATATCAACTCGCCTACATTTGCGTAAACGTCTATTTTACATTCACAAATAAGCAAGTTATGAAAAATGTTTATGGTCCAAAAATACAACACGTAAGTTATTAATATTGTTAAATAATATATTTAATAGTAACAATTTTTGTATATTAGATTAATAAAGTCATATTTTGAAATTATTTTAGAAATGCCTTTTCAACGTAGGTCAATGTTGATAATTAATGAAGAAATAAAATTAAATCATCAGCCATGGCAAGAATGACCGGGAAGAATATTTGGTTGATAGTTTCGTTGACAGCATGAGTGATTTACGAAGTAGTTACGCGGAGATTTTTATATTGCTTTGTTTATATGTTTTATCTTTTTTGTGTACCTATTTTAATTATGATAGTATTAACATTTTTAAATTCTAAAGATTTTCTAAAGCACATTGATGAGGAGAATGAGAAAAAAGCAATAATTTTGAAAACCTATTTTAAAGAAAATCTACTTCCAAGTTTTGTGAACAAATTTGAAAGTATAGTTGTTAATAATAATTATTTTGGTAATGGGAAGGTAATATATTTATATCTTTTTCAAGTTAGGATATGTATTATCATTTAAATTATTTATACAAAATACTAGCAGTCCCACCCGGCGTGGCGTTGCTTGTGCCAATTTTAGATTCTGAGTAGAGTGTGGAATGTATTGGTTTACAGTGATGTTTATTTTTTTTTTTTGTGAACAACTATTTTATCGACAATTTCGCTCCGATTTTTAAGTGTAGCACTTTTCTAAAAGGAAATCTGACTGGGGAGATTATTTTTTCATTTTCCCAGGAGATCTCATAGTAAATGGGAAAAAACGGGAAAATGTACGAAACATATTATTTATATTACGGCTCAAATCTTAAATATTACGGCCTTTCAAAACATATATGACTGAATCTGTTCAGAATCGTTTTTTAATAGCAATGACTAATCGTTGCATACAGATATACATATATTTTCCCTCTACCTTACAACAGTGACCACCCATGGTGTGAAATTTATCTGTTTTTTTTTTATTTTTTTTTTTTACTATATTCTTTTTTGGATTTACCGTGTCAGTATATAATGAAAAGAAAAAGGTAGAAAGTTGGTAGTTTACTTTCTATGGATTTAAAGTGTTGTTATGATACTTTTTCATGATTTTTATACCTAATATGCCTAAACACCGAATTTCATGGGGTGAATTTTAAAAGAAGTGAAGGCTAACCTAACCTATTGGGAAATAGGGCTCACGGACGGCATGTCGTTCCTTTAATACCTTTATTTGCCGAAAATGTATATTATTATAAAATTAATAACTTGATAGATGTACATAAAAATTTCCAATGTTTTTGGTATATTTTCTTTCATATAACCTTTATTTTTATTTATCATTAATTTACTGTTGTGAAATATTCGTCAATTACTGAATAATTTTCGAATAATTATTATATATTTATCAATTTTTCAAAAAAAATTTGTTGATAACATTAAATTTTGTTTCAACTGTTTAGGCAAGAAGGCAACTTTTGAAAGTTGATACATCTATGCTCGATGCAGAAATTTTAAAAAACAAAAATAGTTGTATGTCCAATTTATTAATTTCTTTTGAGTATGTTTGCCAAATTAATTGTTTTTTATTTATTTTAATATTTGTACCTATATAAATAAATATAAATACTCGTATATTCCTATGGTTTTGTATTTAGCAATTGTGTATTTAAATAACTAAACAAACAATGTAAATAAAAAGAAATTTAAAAAACAAAAATAAAATCCATAGTGCAAAAAGCAAGTAATTATTATAAGATATAAAATAAAAGTTCAATATCATTTTTTGTTTTTGATAATGAAGCACTAGTAACGTTGAGTTTCGTGTCGTTATATAACTTCCATTTGTCGTTGTGCTTTTTTAATTCGTGATATCATATTAATAATATATATATAAAAAAAAAAAACGCTTTTTCAACATTGATATGCAGAAGTGAGAACACAAGCTATATTATAGTTAGTTATATACGCAAATAACATTAAACTTATCGTATCTAGTAAGACCAAAACTTGATATGATCACACTTGGGAGGAAGGGGTTGTACAAATTTCGGGGTTGCTGCTACAAATTTATACAGATTAAATAACAAATTTTGGTAGGTACCAATTTCGAGTCTCTACAACAAAAGTTAAGAAATGCGGACGCTGACGACACTTATCGTCTGCGTCCACAACAAAAAACACGTTTTTCAACGCTTAGAAGGGTTATACAAATTTCGGGGTCGCTGTTACAAATTTGTATAAATTATATAATAAATTTTGGTGCCAGTTTCAAGTAGTATTTCTGATCTGTGGACGCCAGCGACATGCAGCTAATAAATTTAATGCAATTTTACTAGGTGATTGGGCGAATACCGGTGTATACGACTTTAACTACACGTCACAAGGGTAGACTCAACAAATAAAAATTTCGATTTTTACTACTGAGGATAGATTAAAAATTTGAGCGAATCTATTGATTGGCATTTGGATGCTAATTTTTTTTTTTAGATCCTAGAGAATTTAAGCAGCTCTATATTTATTGAATACAGATTAAATATGTGTTTATTACTGCTGTTTATGTATTATTATGTAAAAAAATGGAAAAATGGCATCCATTATACTGAATGATTGTTCAAACAGAACTTTATATCTAGATCCTTTGAAATTGCACATGGATTTAGTACAATCTATTATAGTAGAATAAAAAGCAAAAGTAAATAAGGTAAAGGTATAGTGGTAGGCAGAATAGTAATACGGTGGTGGTAGTGTGGGCTTGAGGGGTGAACAGATGTGAAATATAATAAACATATATATTTTCACAATTGAACAAACAAAATGTGAATTTATAAAACCTTGTAGATCTCTTTTCACTCGATTTTTGGTTATACATATATGTAAACGATTTAAAGAAGTTAGTCGTAAAATTTAATATAAGTACTTACTTTTTATTAAAAAAAATGGCATTATTATACAATTATAGTATGATAGTTGCAATAATTTACATAATGTCGATGATTAATGATTTTCCAGAGGCTAATGAAGGTACTTATACATTTTTCGTATTATAAATTGTTAAATCAAAGTACCAATTATTTTTGTTCTAAGTATATTGTCCAACATATTTAAAACTGTGGTACTTTGGACGAGGTGTGCATTAAATAACTAACGATACTTAGCCAACACAATTTCTTTATTTATAATTAATTAAGTAATATAGCATAATATAAGAACTTGGAGCACACATCTTGTGTCTTTACAATAACAAAGTATATAATCTCTTTTAGGTTAAGTTATAAGTTGAGTCGACCTTATCATTTTATCACAAACAAATTGTATTATTTTTAGAGTATAAGTCAGATGCTGATCTAACTAATATGGGTAAGTTTTTAAAATATTAATTAAGCTCATGCCAATGATCATTTGCTTGTATGTTCAATGACGATCACCAGTTTTATCAGATTTCTCGTTTTCTACCAGAAATTTGCTCCAATCGAAAAATAACAAGAGATTAATTGTTATTCTTTGAAATAAATAGCTACTGATAAAAAAAGTCATTTTTATCTAAAATATTTTTCATTATAATTGGGAAAAACAAAAAAAAAAAATTTAGACACAAAATAGACTTTTTAATTTTGCGAGTTTTTTACGCAATATTTATTCAGTAGGTACTCTGTGGATAATATTGTTAGACCGAACAGAAATGATTGGATATTTTACGGGAAGTTCATAATAAGTTTTACTTGGTTGTCAACCAGAAAAAATTGAGTTTAATGTAACATTTTTTTTTATTAGAATCATGGTATCAAATTTTGACGAAAATCGTAAATATTATGGCTTTTTAAAACATGTATAACCGAACTCCGATTAAAATAATTTTTCATTAGCAATGATTAATCGTTCTATAAAAATATACATGAAATTCTCTTTTATATCTTAATTTTCCAACTTCTCATCTACAACAATGGCCCAATCATCTTGCGAAGTATGTCCATCTTTTTAAGATTATATTTTCTACCAGAAATCATTGTCCAAATTCTAAGAATAGCCTATTTTTTGAAATTTTGTTTTCTTTGTGAATAAGAAAGTCGTTCTTTGATTTTCCGTATGGTTTCCTTAATAATTACTTAACAACGGAAAAAAACGTAAAAAATACGGCAAAGTATACAACATCTGGGGTTTTTGTCTTTATTCGGTTAAAAGTTATTATAGAGACCTGTAGTTTTCACAAAATATTGATATTGGTCTTTTAAAATAGATAGGATTTATTAAATTAAAATTTATCAGATAGGAAAGAAATCGATTTTTTAATTGCATTGTAAGAAGTAGTTAAGCTATTTAATTTACTCAGTTTTACTAATCAATGATTTAATTTCAATAATGTAATTAAATGTAGTAATACCTCCATCTTCGATTTTAACTATTTTTTCAAGGTTTCTCCTTGTAGTTTTATTTTATTTTATTTTTTTTTATTAAATTATGCTCAAAAACATTACATACCCAATTTTGAAATGATTTGTATTCATAATGAAATTAGATACACATTTTAGATGAAATGATTTTCCATAAACTAAACATGAGATTTTTTTTTGTGGGTGAACCGCTCGATTTATAGATGTTACAACATGGAATTACAGATAAAATAGAGACTTTAATTGCAGTAATAAATACGACTGTACTGAACAAACTTTTTGGACTGAACTGAAATTATATTCATATTCTGTGTCTTAAGCGAAATTCATGTCATACTCGTACATTCATTCTGGTAATTTTGTTACAACCCATCATGTAAATCTTTCAAAATATATCTAAAAAGTACTAGTACGTATATTATATTATTAATTTTTCACTTCCTTTTGATCCAATCCATTTACATGACATAATTTTTTAAAAGCATATTTAGGAAGCGGGGTAGTCTAGCTTAGGCGGGATTCTTCGAATTATGTAAATTTGGCAATCAATTTTTCTACGATTATTATTACTGAATTATAAAAAAAAATCTGTTATAAGATTATAAAGTTTTAATTATAACAGAAACTGTTATTGCGAATATTTTCCTGTTTTTTGGTTTCCCCCCTTATTATTATGAAAACTACAAAGAAAATTAAAAAAAAATAATCCTCCTTATGCATCAGTCGGATAAAATTGTACCCCAGAAATTACCTCTGAAGTTAATCATTAGAGCAGAATTTCTTATAAAAAAAAACAGTTAAAAACCAGGAAAAAAAAAATTAGAGTACACACAATAGGAAAACCAATACATTCTTTAAAGAAGAATCAAAACCTTGATTTATTATACTAAAACCGGAGCAAGATTTCTGGTAAAAATGTTGTTTACAGACATAATATTAAAATTATTACATTTCTGGAGAATTTATTACATTGCCTTGAGATTTCTAAGAATCTAAAAATAAATATTGATTATTACCTATTAAATTATAGTATTAGCATATGAGTATCAATATTTTTACTATGATGATGTTCTTTGTAGTGATAAAATCATCACTTTTTATAATTTAAAGAGTACTTAATTCCAAATTGACTATTTTAATAATAAAACATTTATTGAAATTCAATTTAAAAACAATGTGGTCGTGGTTTATATCTGAAACTGTAATCAAACTTTAGTTAGAAATTTTAAAAATGTAGTTTACTATAAACCTATATTTATTCAAAACCTCTATTAAATAAGTACCTACTATTTTATTTTAACTGTGTAAAAATGAACTTCACATATGTTATGATTTACAATATTTTTATTTTCATCACAGCGGCTTTTCAATACGTGGGATTCGAATTCGGCAATGAATATGAACTTTTATATTCTAAATTTGATGGCCTGGAAGAACCGATTCGTCATGTACTAAAGCGTCTGTATTTGCATAATTATTTACATCACCCTCACAAAGAGATACATTTTGAAAAAATTGAATGGCTAAAAAATAATCTAGGTAGGTACGTAAGTTATATGTATTATTAGTATTACTAGTAATTATTTATGTAAAATAGTTAGATGAAGGCATATTTTGTAATGTTTTTTAGAAATACCATACCTACATGGTCCAGCGTTGATAATTAATGGACAAATAAAATTGACTCAACCATCAGCCATTTGTCGATATTTAGCTCAATATGCTCTTTTAAATGGTGATAATCAGTGGGAAGCATATTTGATTGATAGTCATGTTGATACCATAAATGATTTACGAAGAGGTACACGGAGATCTTTGCTTTATTTATAAGTTTTTCGTCTTTGTGTAGATATAACAATGATTTAAGCAATAACTTATGAGTATTGTGGTATATTTAAAAGTTTAAATTTTTAAAGAATTTGTAAAATGCATTAATGAGAAGAACGATAAAACAGCAAGCAAATTGAAAAAAAACTTTATTGAAAATCGACTTCCATATTATATGCAAAGATTTGAAAACACAGTTAAATATAACCAACAACATTTTGTTTATGGAAAGGTAATATATATATGTAAATATCATTTTTTAATTTTAATAGTTAATATACAGTAGAAGCCGCTTATTAGGAACACTTTGGGACCGAGGTGAAACGTGTCAATTAACCGATTGTTTCTAATAAATGATTGGTTTTAATATACGATTGGTCCCTTGGTTATTTTTAGGGGTAAAACCACTACTTACTTTTGATTTTCAAATGGCAACCTATATTAAAAAGACCATAAATAGATTGAGTATTAATTTAAAAAAAATTTAGTGTTAACATTTTTTATTTCTGTCAAGCCATTAACGAAATATTCGAAATATTTATAAATTAATACTCAATCTATTTATGGTCTTTTTAATATAGGTTGCCATTTGAAAATCAAAAGTAAGTAGTGGTTTTACCCCTAAAAATAACGGTGACAAAAAATAACACAAATATAAAATTGTGGAGCAGCTTGTTTCTTAAGAAAACTTATAGAAAACAAATTCCGGAAAAAGTTAATAATTTTCGAGATAATGAGTGTACCCACTTTAAAAATTACTATAAAATGTATTCGTTAAAATATTACTTTATTAATAATATTAGTATGTTTTTTTCCAGTTTACTTGGGCTGATACATTTTTTATAGGTATTATTGATGCCATAGACGCTACAATGAATATAAACGCATTGGTCGGTTACACAAACTTAATACAACTAAAAGGATATGTATCGAGTTCGAATGACAGAGAATACTTCACATTTTTGAAAACGATTGACTCACCTAAATTATTTGGAGGCATTTGAATTATACATAATACATTAATGTGAAAATTATAATTAATATCTAATAGTTATTTTATTTAGGTTATATTATTATATTCTGGCTTTAGGATTATACGAAATATATTATTAAATAATGTAGGTAAATAATTATTATGAAGTGCTACACATTTTTTTTTTTTTTTTGAAAGAGAGAGAGAAACACTTACAACATACACAACCAAACAATTATTTTGATTTATTATTATCTCTTTGGGATAATAAAAAAATTATATAATAGAAATAAATAAAGAAATAGGTGCTGGATGAAAGGGTTAGATTTTGTTTTAAATAGCGTGGTGGTACTGTAGTAATGGATTCGTAAAAATTCGTTCCCGTTCCGAGTTCCTCATTTATAAAAAGAACTCATTCCAGTGGCAGTTATACATGATGATCAAGGGGGGGGGGCGAAATTAAAGCCAACCCTCCTTCACCCAATCACATTTTATACATATAGAATGTACACATAATATTTTAAAATATACATACGGGTTATGTGTATAATAATGTTTATATAATAATAACACACTTTAGTATTAATATATATTAAAAGAAAGATATACATGAGCTATATATACATAAAATAACTTGTCCTGATTGATTCATCATCGCCTAGCCCAAACTACTGTAGAGATCGGGCTAAAATTTGGCATACAGATAGCTATTATGACGTAGGCATCCACTAAAAAAGGATTTTTGAAAATTCAACCCCTAAGGAGATAAAATAGGGGTTTTTAAATATATTTGGTACGAATAACTAATTGCTTATTTATTTATTTATTTTTGTTTGTTCAAGAGTTACCTCGATGATACGGATGATAATTTGGTTGTCACGGATTAGAAAACTATTATAATTATAATTATTACTATCAATTACACTATTAAAATTCTACAATAGAATACTTTTAGTCCACCAAAGGTGGACACCCACTTTCCATCTAAATGTTTTCATTCAATTCTAACACGGTCAAAATCAAAAATGAATATGACTAAAAAAAATAATACAAATTCCCCTGTCACGGGATAGCTAGTGTACTATAAATGTATTGATTTATAATTTATAATTTATAATCTTATAATAATTATAATAAAAGCATATATGCCTTTTTTTTTTAAAAATATTATCTACATTAATATTTAAGTCCCTATAGATATGACGCTGTGGTAGCCTATTTAATCGATCTTCGCTAGTTGTTTACCTAAATAATGTAAATAAATAAAGTAAATCATATGCATAGTAGCAAAATGTAGCATTGAAACATTAACCATCATGATAGCAGTTTTTACCATTTGATAACAATATTGTGAATCGCTGTATCGCCACGGCCAACGAAAGTAGATAAACGATAAACTATATTGTTTACCTAGCTCCGCGTGTATCCACTGATTTCAATACCAAGTTAATATAGAAGTCTGTGTGCATATTGCATATTCTAATCACAGTCCATAGACAACAGAAAAAAACCATAATCCACAAATATATAGAATACATTTTTCTACATAATATCTGTGCCACAGACTAATATAATATATTATTCGTGATAAAACGTAAAATATGATCAAGGAAATTCTAAATATTTTGCTATCATATCATGGAGTTCGAAAATGTATAGATAGATGTTGTTGGGTCAGCGATAAACTAAACTTAAAAAATTAAATCTCAAGGGAGGATCCACCTATAGCCTCCCCTTATAACCGCCACTGATTCATTCCCGTAACTCGTTCTTTAAAAAAAAGGAATTCGTTCCTTTAAGCTAGTGAATTTTTCAAACGCATAAAATAAATAATATAAACACGTAAATATACGTTGATACGGCCAATGTCTCCCAATGTCTCCCCGACCATGACTCACTGATCCCTCGGCTATGGCTATATCACTGATTATTATTATGTTATACTTGTACCTATTTATGTATGTATGTATGTATGTATGCATGTACGTATATATATGTATGTATATTAATATATCTTTATTTGTAAATTTTATTTACATAATATACAAGTTGTTTTTTACGATTGTTTTTTTCTCCGTAGTATCATCCGATTTATTTGTCCAATTGGTCACAGACCGAATTGGGTTTACAACTATTTAATGTGTGTGTGTTAGCAGTGGCATAATTGGGATTTTTTAAAAGAGGATTTCACATGTCCACATTAAAAAAAAACACGCTTTAACACAATTCAATACATTTATATAACTTAAACACAGACGAAGGGGAGGTTCAGATCCAGACACCTCTATGGTTGCACTACTACGTGTACGTGTACTTACAAGGCATATAATATTATATAATATAATAATATTGCAATTATCTATCCTAGGGGTTCCCAACCTTTTCATCATTGAGTACCACCTTAATTCTAAAACTAAATTAGGAGTCAAATTTTTTTTAACATATATTAGTATTATTCATTCATTAATTAACATTATTTTATTTTATTTTAACATTATTATTTTATATTTATTATTGATTCTTTGTCTGCCACGTCTTTTTGGATTTATTTGGCAGAAGATTCGTACAAAAATGAGTTTTTAATCCAATTTTTCTTTGAATAGTCTTCAGAAAAATATTTAGAAAAATTTGTCTTCAATGCTTCCAAGTGTTCCAAGATGTCAGCATTTAAATCTTCCTTCAGAGAGAGTTCATTTTCATCAATAAATGAGGAAAGAGTAGGAAATGCAGAAATGTCTTTTTTTTGTTTGAAAAACGTAGAATAACTGGGAAACCAATACATTAAACAAATATTATCAAAGAAAATATATAAAGCTTTTTTAATTATTTTACTATAAAATGACATATATATTGTTGACAAAGCATCTCAATTACTGAACTCCGCTTAGAATCGTTGTTTTTGTAAGCAACAATAAACTGTTGCTTACAGGTATACATTGAATTATCTATACCAGTGGCTGCATCCGTCCCCATTATCCTAGGACGTCTTTTTATATCTTGAATCGCTAGCCGGTAGCTGTATATGCCGTGTGGTAAATTTAAACGTTATAAATTCCATGACATTTAATACTTATAAATTGAATTTATTGTGATTATTATTTATATTAAATCTAAAAAGAAATATTATATTCAAACCGTTATCATCGTAATCGAAATGCAATATTGTACACGTCATCAGATTACAATGTTGGGGCGGTAAAATATTGGAATATAATATATTCAGACAAAACACTAGGTAGGTTATGTTAGGCATAGAATAATAATAATAATATATAATATGTTATTAAATAAGATGATAGAATAGATACCTACCTACTCAAACACTCATTGCTTTTACATTACTGGTATTGTTTTGAAACATGATTTTATATTTCAGATTTATTATTGATTGTCAACCAATAATTTTTTGGATTTTGTGAAATTTATTAGTTATGAAACTTTATGTAACATATATTCTGTTTCAGTTTTATTGAATATGTTTCCACCCTTAGGCAATGACCTAATCTGCTTGTGCCCTTGCGACGAACCTGAGAATAAATTATGACTAATCTTATATCAAATCGGTGAGCAATATTAGTATGTTTTTATATGATTTACATTCCTTAAAAAAAATTTAAATGATTTAAAATATTTAAAAATAAATAAATATTTCGTAAATTATACAATGGCTAAAAAATGCTGACATTATAAATAGGTACCTATATAATGTTATTGCCTATATAAATCTATACCTACGATTATTTTGCACTGAATCACAATAAAACCGGCATTGCATAAATATTACCGTTTTTACATTATTGATTTTTTACTGAGATAGGAATTGTATAGGAAAATATTGAAAACTATTAAAATATGGTATTGAGTGAATACAGCACAATAAACAAGTATATTTTCACATTTGAACAAACAAAATGTGATGTTGTAAAAGTCTGTACATTTCTCGTATCCTTTAATTCAATTTTTCAATTTATTTAAAGAAGTTAGTACGGACATTTTAAATTAACTACCTCTGTTATTACAAAAAATGACATTGTTAAATAGTTATAGTACGAAATTTACAATACTTTACATTATGGTGATGGTTAATAATTTGTCACAGGTTAACGCAGGTACCTATACATTTATTCATATTGTAATTTATCTACACAAATACATTTGAAATAACAATATTACTTATGTTCTATGTAACATTGTATAACATACTTTTTTTTAAAAAAAAAGTGCTGATACAAAGGAAGGATGTACCACTGATATATGCAGTAGGATACGTTATTTATTTAATTTATTATCTATATACACTATGCAATGATTAATCATTGCTAACATAAATTACTTTGAGCTAGGTTTAGTTATATATGTTTCGAAATTTTGTAATTGTTACTAACTTGGTAAGTTTAGGTTGACTTGATTTAAAAGGCCTAAAATACTAATAAAGCGGATAAATATGATTAATACATCATTTATAGGTCAACTTTGAAAATTAAATTAAACCTATAATGAACCTAGTCTTACATTTTCAAGAATTTCTGTTTAGCCAAACAATATTATCCTCTTTGAACCAAATAAAAACAGAAAAAACCTTGACAATTTCAAATGTTTATTAAAAACTAAAATATTTCCAGAATATTATGAAAATTTGACTGTGTCTAGAAAAGTCTTTTATAAGTATTCTATGAATGTGCAAGTCTCTACGATTATTTTAAAAAGAGCTAATACTGGGAACGGGTGTAGCCAGTGGCCACTGCTAAAACTAGGTAGTGGGGAAGATGGGATACATAGTTATTTAATTTATACCTGTAATCAACCATTAATAACGAAAAAAAGATTCGGAGCGAAGTTCAGTTAGACATGTTTTAAAAGGTCGTAATTTTTACGATTTTCGTCAAAATTTTATTTTAAAACTTGAAAAAAATAATAATAATGAACCTGCTATCAAATAGTTTGGTGTTTATGTTAAGTCTAACAATTTATCAACAAAGCACCTACAAATAAAAATTACCTACAAAATCCGCAAAATTAACATGTCTATTATTATTAAATTCTAAGTGGACGAAGAAACTTATAGTTTGACAAAGATGTTATACTTTAAATATCTAAAAACGACTTACTCTGTCAGTGGCAAAATATCAAAAGGAACAAAATCGAATCACTTGTCATTAATAGATTGGAGCAATATTTCTGGCAGAAAATATAGTATTAATATAATAATCAAAAAATAACGTCAATGCCCCAACTAAAAAAGAAAAATACTTTTCCAAAATGGTGCTATAGTTTACATTTCAGAGCAAGTTTTTTGGTAGAAAAGTTGTTCACAGACAGCAAAAATACAAACAAAAAAAAACAAAAACACATATAGTAAAACTAATGGATTCTTCGCTACGCTCCGAATCTAATAACAAAATTCATAAATAATGAAACCTACAATGCTGGAAAACTTTCCAACGTTTTTTTCCGATTTTTCTCAACTAATAGGATAAGTTCACTGAAACATAAAAAACCGAGTTTCATACATACTATAAAGACAACAAAATCGATAATTAGAAAATGATGTCATAATTGAATTTCGGTGCAAGAATTTAGGTAAAAAAAACAAAAAAAAATACATTTCTCAATACATTAACTAGATCCAGATCGCAACCTACAAATTATTTGGTCATATTTTGATTGGAGCATGATTTCTTACAAACAAATTGCTCACAGACAATAAAAAATAAATTTTAAAAAAAAAAACTTATAATAAAACCAACATTTTGTTAATATGTAGATTATAAATCAAATGGAGATCTAACTCACTTGAGTAAGTAAAATATTATTCAAGCACCTACCCATAATCATTATAAAGCACACATGTAGATTATTTTCATCTGAATAATTCAAAAACCCTATAGATTTAAAACAAATTCCATTTTAATTTAACCTTAAAATAAATATTCAATGATCATACCTTTTTATTATTTTAAATTTTAGATTTAAAATACTTAGTAAATGTCAGTGTGACTTTAATAAATCAATATTTATATTACCATGATACTGCTCTATTCAGTAATGAAATGATTAATTAATTATTAATTTAGTTATTAATTATTAAATTAAATCAGTTATTAATTTTTTTTACTTCATTAAATACATTTTTTATGTTTTACATGCTTAACAATGAAAATAATTACGGTTTTTTTTTGAAATTGTATCCATTGTTCTCTTAGAAATTTTCAAGGTAGTTTTTTCAATAAACCTATATTTATAAAAAAATTGCAATTAAATCAAATAATTATATATTTTTAGGCTGTTTAAAAAATGAAAATTCTATATATTATGTTTTCAATTTTTACATTTTTTATCACAGCATCTTATGAACTTACCAATAACACAAAATTCGAAATTAAATATTTAACCACTGAAGGCTTGGCTCAACCTATTCGATTTTTATTAAACCTCATGGGCCGTCGTTTCAAAGATGTACGTATCACTAATGCTACGTGGAAATCTGGTGCGAAAAAAGGTAAGTTCTTATTACTTCTTATTACTAAAATAGATAGATAGGTCATCAAATATACTAATATAGTATATGTGATATTTGTGATATATATATATATATGCGACGCGAACGGTTTTTGTTATCGCGTTTGGGTAATCGTTCAACCTAACCGGTCGACTATCGTTGTAGTTAGCTGACCAGTGTTCGTTCTGTGGCTGTAGCGCGAACTACCTTCTATGTCAGAATGTATAATTTTTCCATATAAGATTTAGTGTTAATTTGTATTTTGATCTGATGTGATTTATATTAAAATAAATCTACAAATCTTACAGTATAATTATATAATAATCGTAATAATAGTAATAGTTTATTATTTCACAAAATATCATACAAAGTTTTTAAATCAATTATAAATATAAAATAATTTGTTTCCAAAAGCAAAGCTTGAGAAAGAAACAAGAGTTCTAAAATTATCTAATATATGCAGAGCTTAAAAAATGAAACAAAAATAATATACTAATATTAAAAGGTTTATTTAGTATAACATAAGTAAATAATAGGATAACACTGTAAAACATCAAGTATACAATGTATACTGCTGTACCTATACATACTTATATGTAATCAATACATTATTGTAATATTTAACATTAATTGAATGGTATACTAATAGTAACCAAAAATGTATATAGGTATATGTAGAAGGTTTATATAAATATCTTTATTTAATTTCCCTTTTGTTTCAGAAATGCCATTTGGACATGTTCCAGTGTTGATACTTGACGACACAATAAGATTAACCCAATCAACAGCTATTTGTCGTTTTTTAGCTACGTTTGTTCATGATCAATTAAATGAAGTCAATGATTGGGAAGCTTATTTGATTGATAGTAATGTTGAAAACATGCAAGATTTACGGCGAGGTACATGGAGATTTTTAAATATTTTGATATATTTTGTACCCATACCTAAATACTGTGTTATGATATTATTAAACATTTATATTTTTTCAGAACTAATAAAGCACATACATGAAATTAATGACGATAAAAGAAACAAGTTAAAAGCAAAGTTTGAAAACATAACGCTTCCAATTTTTTTGCGCAAATTTGAAAACATAGTTACTTATAATCATCAACATTTTGTTCGTGGAAAGGTAATTATTAATTACTATTAATTATGTGTAATTTATATATAGATATTCAGATAAATTGTAATCCATATAATATTTGCTAGAGGTAATGTACGAATTTTATAAGGCTAAAAATCATTTTGATGTTAGGACATTAAATACTTACCTACAAAACCTTAGTAATAAAACTGCATCTAATTTCATTCTTTTTTTTATCCTTTGCGTTCATCCCAACTATTTTGGGTCAGACACCCTCGGTCAATTTAAATAATAGGCTATGTTTAATAGTTATATTTAGCAACCTTATTTATAAAACCTTGCTGTTTCAATATTTATATCACAGATCTGTATTTTTTTCGAAATTCGGTGTTTTATCTTTTTGCTATAGGTAGGTTATTTTTGTTATAATTGGTTTCTATGCAACTGGATAAAAATATATTATATTATACATATTTTATTTAGTGTCTTCTCTCATAATTAGCCCAAATTGTCTTAATAACTTACTATTTTTAATATACTCTTCTAATTTTTTTTTATATATTATCGTTTTGAAATTTGAAAAATAATTATATAACATAAATGTTATTCTATTAAACGTATTTGTTTCACTCAAATACTTTAACCTGTTTAGTTAATTTCTATTTTACTTTTATACCTTTTAACATTCAATTATTATTACAATTGTAGTGATATTTACTTGATTCTACTTGACATGTACATATTTGTATAAATCGAAAACAAAACGAGGTTGTTAGTTATTTTATTTAAATAATTTAAATACAGTTTTTAAATTGTTTTTGAAATCAAAAATCAAAATTATAAAATAATCTTTAAAATTGACGAGGTAACTTATTCTTCAAAATATGTTTATACCTTAAATATTAATATTAGATTATTTTATTTCAGTTAACATGGGCTGATATATTCTTTGCCAGTATAGCTAACTCTATTGGCAAATTAATAAACAATACGAGTTATCTAGATAAATATCATAATTTAAAAAAACTAACAGAAAAAGTACTCAGTATAGAGGCCATTCAGAGCTGGCTTGAAAATCCTGAATATATAGTAGTTTAATGCGTATTTCGTATTTTAAGGTGTTTGAAATTAAAGAGTGAAAATGTATTTTAAATTGAGTATAGTATTTTAATACCAATCGAGTAATTATATCAATATGTTCCATTATAATACGAAATATATTCTATAGTTATTTTATTTAGTTGAGTTAATGTATGAAATATGTATGTTTTGAAATAAATTACCTAATATTTATAAAGTATAATCAATGTTTTAGATTCCGAACGTAGCGAGGAAGCTATTGGTTTTACTAAGATGTTTATTTTTTCTTTCTTTTTCCTAGTCTTTGGACACGTTTTTTCCTGTTAAACTTGCTCCGATTTGTAAGTGTAGCAACTTTTCTGAAAACTCAAACTATCTAGATGGTACTTAAAAGTTGTTATTTTTTGATTTTTGACGCTATTTTTTAAATAAAAGCACTTAAATGGAAAAAAACGTAGGAAAACGTACAATTTCACGATTTCATTATTTTATAAAAACACGAATGGTGTATTTTACTAGAAAAAATGATTTTATCGAAAAATCACAATGTACCTTTTTATGTTGCCTTTTTGATTTACTTTTTTACGGTACCATCGTAAAAACTTTTGAGTTTTTAAGGAATTTGAATTTTTGGGAGTCTTTTGGGAAGCTGTAATCCGGTTATAAATACACATAGAGACATGCAATTTGGTAATAATACTTATATTGGACTTATCTAGACGTGGTAAAATTTCCAAAATCATCGGATAACTTTTTTTTTTTAATAATTGTTTTGAAATCAAATTGGAACGAAAATGGCAAAAACAATTACGGCACTTCAAATTGTGTATTACCGAATTGCGCTCGGAATCGTCTTTCGTCAAGCAATGGTCCATCGTTACTTACAGATATAAATGAAATAACCTTATGTATCCTACCTTCCCAACCTTATTACCAGAAAAGTAGTAGTGAGAGATGGTGTTATGGTGTATTATTACTATTATTTATTATTATTATTATAGTAAATTAAAATGCCATCTTATCATTGTATGGTCTTCACGTCTTAAAAATGTATCTATAAACTTATCTATAACTATTTTACATTTAATGCCGTTGAAAACATAATAAAATACCAGGTTTGTATATTTTTTCCAACGACTTACTTCATTCATCCGTCAATGACTTATGTACAAAATAACCAGTTAATGTACGAAACTATATGATTTTAAATTTTAAGTGATATTTACTTTATCCAATTAGTATAGATAATATGCACTTTAGCCATATTTCGGACTTTAGCCGTAACACATGTACATAAAGTAGTATATCTTAGTGACAGTCCGTGTTCAAAATAAATCATTGAGATCGAGTGCCTCAGTACGTAACGAAATGTCCTAACAGCAGCCAAATGCGTCAACCGATTCGTCGTCCGTTCACCCCATCTACCGCAGGTGTGAGATTCGCGAAATTATTGAATGATATGAAATGGAGGGTGAACATTTTCTTTACTTGATTGTGACTTGGGATAAAACGTGGGCGTGTCACTATAATTCTGAGTCGAAAAGGCAGTCTCTACAGTGGCGCCATACCTATTCCAACCAAAAAATTTAAAGTTCAGTTTTCAGAGAGAAAGATCATGGCATTTGCCTTTTGGGCCTGGAAAGAGATCATGTTGGTCGATTTCATGCCCCAATGGACTATCATCAATGCTGTAGCATACTGTGAGACACTGAAAAGGTTAAAAGAGGCGTAAATCGACTCAAGAGTATAGTGACACACCATGTTTTGTCCCCAGTCACAATTCAGTTAAAAAAATGTTCACCCTCCGTTTAAACACGTTCAAGAGGAATTTCGTGAATCTTAGACCTGCGTTAGGTGGAGCGAACGGATGAATCGGTCAATATGTTTGACTGCTATTTCGTCATGTATCTAGTGAAGCACTCGATGGTTTGTTTTGACCGTTAAAAAATTCTTTATGTTAGTGGTGTCAACTTTTAAAAAAAAATACCCACGTTCTATACGGCCTTTGTAAACTTACTTTTATTTAGCATATAATGTTCATAGTCAACGAGGTTCACTTTTTGGAATTTTATTTTGCATCTAACTTTTATTTAAATTATTGAAAATGTATACTTTATAAAAATTACAATTACAAAATGTGTTATTTGTTTAATAGACTTATTAATTAGGTACTTATAGTAGTTTATTTTAAGGTATAAAAAGTAGGTACCGTATATTCCATTATGCGAATTATATGAATATTTAATGAATAAACATTGATGATTACTGATCACTAAAAGAACAGACAAGGCACTCCCTGTATTTGTAATTTGTAAGCGATGTAGGTATTTATCCAAAAGAATTTGGTCTGTGCCTTTTTAATTTAAATTTGCCTCTAGCAAATTTATGTGGATACCCATGGCTGTTAACTATACACTTTTAAGAGGACGTTATACAATATTTTAAAGGGAATGTCGTAGGTTTTTTTGAATTATGTACTATTAAAAAAGTTACAATTAATTAAAAAAAAAAAAATAATAAAGGTTTTTATCTTTTACATCATGATGTATATTTTGAACTATACAAAAAACTTTTAACATGTGTAGCAACTTTTTTGAAAGCTCAAACTATCTAGATAGTAATTAAAAGAGGTAATTTTTTGATTTTTGACGCTATTTTTTTAAATAAAAGCAATTAAGTGGAAAAAAACGTAGAAAAACGTACAGTTTCACGATTTCATTATTTTATAAAAACATGGCCGACGTTTTCTATCAGAAAAAATAATTTTATCGAAAAATCACAAGATAACTTTTTAATTTACTTTCTTACGGTATCATTGTCAAAACTTTTGAGGCTTTTAAGGAATTTGAACTTTTGGGAGTTTTTGTTGTAATTTGGTTATAAATACACGTAGAGACTTAAAACAGGTACAGTGACGTATTTACGGGGGGGGGCGAAGAGGATCAATCCCTCTCCCCATTGGATGTTTATAATATGCAAATAATTATAGTTATACTATTTAAAATATTTTTTTTTTTTATTGATTATATAAAGAGTTGGTATCTTTGGTCAGTGATTACATAGATATTTGTATAGATTTTATTTGTAATAGGTATTAAATTTTGTTTTAGTAAAACATTATACAATGTTAATAAGTTATTATATTTTATGGAAATTTTAAGGGGTGGGGAGAAGTCCCCTCAATTTTATTATACTACTAGATAAAATCATATCCCCCTCTAAGACAAAACCTAAATACGTCTCTGACATGGTTTAATACTTATATTGGACTTACCTAGACGTGGTAAAATTTTCAAAATCATCATTTGACTTTTTTTCCATTTTTTAAATATTTTAATAATGGTAACTTGATCCAATGTATAAGTGTAGCACCTTTTCTGAAAGTGAATTTTATATACTTGGTTTATCGTTGCTTACAGATATAAATGAAATAACCTTATGTATCCTACCTTCCCAACTTCCTACCTACAACAGTGGCTGCACCCATCCCCAGTATCAACTTTATTATGTATATATTTATTTGAAAAATCTTCAGAATTCCGATAATTTTAAAAATTATTACACTATATTACAATTATTACGTAGGTATTACATATTTTGTTTATTGAAATCTCAAGACCGATTCGCCTAATAATTGTTGCTGATAAATATTCAATTTCGTATATATTTACATAAGAGAGGTGGGGGCTAGTGAGACATTTCTCCAGCTCTTTCCATTTAAAAGTTGATTTACTGTGATAAAAAGGCAATATTAATTCCAATATCAGTAATATTAATTATTAACAAAAGAATGGAATGAAAAAAATTAAAATTTCCAAATTTGGGGGGTGAAATGATTGTCAAGACGTACGTTGATCTTTATTTAAAAAATTGTTTTCATAAAAAAATACTAGTTCAACGAAGGTTTTTCATCGAACAATAAAAAAGAACCACGTATATGGTTTTTTTTTCAGTTTGTATGATTTGTTATCCAAATATTAACTTCGAATAATATGCTTTAAATGCAGCCTATTAACTATACAGTGTGTCCTGAAATACTAGAATCTCATAATAAGTCATGCAAATTGTATTATTTTTTTCTTACACGTTACACCTATATATATTTAAACCGAAAAAATAAATAACAGAATACATGTTCCTTGTTTACCCCTTTGTTAATTTAAAACAAGTGAAACTCAACATTTAAACAAAGAAACGCCATTTTATAAAAGGTATCACACCCCTCGCATTATATTCATTGGTCTCTAAAAAAAACTTACATAAGACGAATTCCAACATTTAATTTACAAAAATGATCGTGGATCTAAAGTACAGCATACTTTTTGTAGTTTACGGTATTATGATATTAAATCGTACGACTACATCAGAAAGTAATAATATTTTTATTTTTTTTTTGTCTAATTATGTAATTTATTTTTTTTGTTAATTATAAATTAATTAGCATATTATACTAGTAGTAATTTTATTAAATATCATCAAAATTAAAATAAACTTTAAACATTATTAATTTACAGCAATAGATCCTGAATTATCTGCGAGTTTGTATTTCAATGGAATGAGTAAGTTCGGTTTATAAAAAGACCAGGTTTTTATGATTACCAAAACATATAACACTATAACAGTGTATTATTTAGGTATGTGATTAAAGCTTAGTTATACCAACCGACCAAGAATCTGTTAATAGTTTACTAACTCCTGTAAATTATAATGGCTCTATAACATACAACAGTATTGCTCATAAGAATTTTTAATTAATTTGAGTGTAGGTAAATGTTAGGTAAATCCTAATTATAGGTAATACTAACCACGATTATCGGATAAATTAAATTATTTATATTTGATAACCCTGCCACCAGCAGCGCACCGTTCGATTAGAGTCCGAGACAGAAAGCGCCAAGCATAGAATCAGCTATGGCTAATCCGTATCGCTCAGGCGTCGCGGCTTCGTCTGGCTCAGTTCAACCGGTGTCAGGTGAAGTCTGCGGCACTGAGCATGTGGGCAACGCAGAAAACGGCTTGACGTGATTGCGCTCTAAGAGCTCTCATACATCTCATGGCGGGGTCCGCGATCTCAGCTCGGGCGTCACGGTAATCACGAACGGAAGCACGGCAGACACGCTTTCGGCGGCCATCGTCGTGTTACGTTCCCAGACGTAACACGTAAAAAAAAAAAATAAATACATTTCTTTGTAAAACTATAAACTTCTTAGCTTCACGCTGAATCTAAAACTCGTAAATATCAAATGCCTATATATAGTTCAGAAATTGCTAGTGTTTAGAAAATTTGACCACATTTAGAAAAGACGGGTATGGCCTTTTCTGCCAAAAACGAAAAAAGTTCGATTACCATTTCCGCGAAAATGTATTTTAGTGTAAAGACGTTTCCGTCAAATACAGGGAACCAAGTACTTAATTATGTACAATCACGTTATAATAATGAGTCAAATAATACAATTATTGGAAAAGGGTTGTGGCAGAAACGACCAATAGTATTATAGTGGAAACGGGTATCACCCATAAAATACTAATATAAGTGTTCTCTGAAACTTTGATAAAAAAAAATAATATTTAAATTAATAGAATCGTTAATACTGTGAATTTCGCCGGTTTTCCTATATTTTTTTCTCGAAATTTTCCAATAGTTAAGAAAACTATAAACAAAATCAAAAATGACAACATTTTTTCACAAAAATATGTTGACATTCGGAGGAAGATTTCTTGTAGAAAAGTTGTGAACAGACAGAAAAAAAGTTGCATACATCATGGTATAATCAATTGCTCCGTTCAAAATCTAAAAGCACATTTTCCATTATAAAACAAAAATAATTCTTGCTATGCTCAGAATCTAAAAATTACATTGACTCTCGAAACAAAACAAATTATATTTGTATTATTTTTTTAGGCGCAGATGAAATTGAAAAAATTATATTTTCTAAACCATTGACATTAATTTATTTCAATTCACATGGATTGGCTGAACCACTTAGACTTATAATGTATTATGCCGAAATTAAATTCACAGACAATCGGATATCCGAAGAAGACTGGTATAACAAGTATAAAAAACGTAGGTTATTATAATAATATATCAATATTTGATCGGCATAAATCTTGCAAATAATAAAAAAAAAATTATGAAATTTCAAGTCTCTATGAATATTTTTAATTGAATTACAACAAAAAAACAAAATTAAACATAATAAAGGCATTACTATTTTCCTAAATATGTCCGTTTTTTTTCTGTTTTGCTCAATTATTAAAAAAATAAAAGGGTTAATAAAAAACAAATTTCTTATTCACCAACCAAATTGAAAGTTCAACAAATAAGTTACTTGTCGTTTTTCTATTGGAGCAATATTTCTAGTAGCAAATGTAAATCGTAAAAATTGAAAATAATGAAATCGTACACCGTAAATTTGTTTTAAATGTTTCATCTATTTCCGGTTTTCCCAATATTATTAAAATTACTTGAAAAATCCAAAATATAACAAATATGGTCTCGTGTTATTTTTCGATTGGAGCAATATTTCTAGAAGAAAATATAGTTCACAAAAATTAAAAACAATGAAATCGGTAATGCTACGGTAAATATTTGCCGTTTTACCTATAATTTTATTTTCGGTTTTATCCAATTACTTTTAAAACCACTTGGAAAATCAAAAAAATGACCACTTTATTGCACCAATTTACACATCGGATTTTTTTTGAAAAGTTGTTTCAAGATAAAAAGAAATACAAAAACACATATCACAATAAACTATAGATTCCTCGCTACGCTCCAATTTAAAAACTACTTACTTATTACGTTAACATAACCTCAGCACTCGGGATCATTAATTTTATCAAATTTCAAATTTTAACAGTGCAGTATTATATACTTTATTTTGTAGAATTTTGTACAACCCTTAAAATTCAATTTCATCTCACAGGTGCTGCGGTAACGTGTACAATTTTGTACTATTTATAAATCATCGCTATGACGATTCTTTCAGGGAAATGATGGTCAAAACATTAAATAATTTTAAAACCAAATATTATTCAATTTTATGGTCATCCAAAGCAAAAGTTATTACATTGATTGTATAGTAGTATTAATAAGGGGATCGAAGCTAATAAGCCTAATACCTACATTTCTGGTGTTTTCCCGTTTTTCCTCAGTGTTTTTTGGTTTTTCGCATTTTTTGAGAAAACTCCTGGGAAAATCGAAAAATGATCTCCCAAAATACCACTCCATAAAAATATCCTTTCAGAAAAGGATCTACATCGTATACATTTGAGTGTAAGCTTTCTGGTAGAAAAAGTGTTCAGATAAAAAAAAATATATCTTTGTAAAACCAATACATTCTTCGCTACACTCAGAATTTAAAAAACTTTGAATTAAGTGTAAGTAAAATTTGAAATTTTAACATTCGACATGACAAATATATTACTATTTTATAATCATACTTAAACAAAGATCAAGTGTTAATGCAGTTAATAAAATAAACAGTAAAACTGTAATCGGAGCAAGATTTCTGGTAAAGAATTGCGCACAGATAAAAAAAAAATCATCTTTGTTAAACCATAAGCTTCTTCGCTTCACTCAGAATCTAAAATTAGTAAAAGAGGGTATGGAGGAGAAGCTCCCCAATGGATACATTGAGTTCAATGATTTAAAGAGACACATATTTTTTTAAGTCTTAAAGCCACTTTTATTTTATTTTTCCAATTCAAGCATTATTTAACCACGATACACTGCAATTAAAAATTAAAAGCTTAACATTACGCGTTTATGCTATACTATACTTATTGCAGAATACGGGTGTCTATCATTGAAGATAAAATTATAATTTATCAATTACATTAGCAATGTATTAACGAATGAAAAATCTTAAAATCAAATGTATTGAAAATCTTCGTAAACTAATCTATAAGTCATTATAAAATATTACTTACTTATATTCAATACTATAATTTTATTTTATTTATAAGTCATGCCATTTGGTCAATTACCAGTGTTGAAAATTGATGTCGAAGATAATAAGTCAATTTATTTGCATCAAAGTCTCGCCCTATGTCGTTATATAGCAAAATTTGCCAATTTAGTCGGAGATAAAAGTCCATGGACTATGCTACTTATTGATAAGGTCGTTGGAAATATAGAAGATTTTCTCCAAGGTAAGTAAAAACGTTGTTCAATAATCTACACAAAACTAACCTTGTTAGTAACTTTAATTTTGATTTATTTTTGAAGAATTTAAAAAAGTATATTATGAAAAGGACGAAACCATTAAAGAAAAATTAAACTATGATTTAATACATACTAAAATTCCATTATTTATGACCGAATATGAAGAAATAGCTGAAAAAAATGATGCACATTTTGTCCAAGAAAAAGTAATTTGAATTATTTATTTATTTTATACCTATGTATGAAAAACTATGACGAAAAACTTATATTTGCTTTTTCTAAATGTGGTAAAATTAAAAAAAAAAATTGCTTCATTTTCGAACTAATTATAGACATTTTAATTTTGCAAGTTTTGTACGTAATTTTTTCGGTAGGTAATCTGTGGATAAAATTTTTAGAATAAACAGAAATGCTTGAAAATTTAACTGGAGGTTTCTTAAATGTCGTACTTAGCGGCCGAAAAATATAGTTCAATGTAGTATTTTTTTTTTTTTTTTTTTTTTTATAAATTTTAAAATCAAATTTTGACATATAATCGTAAATATTACTGTATTTTTACAGCCGAAACATGTATAACCGAGCTTTGTTCCGAATCGTTTTTCGTTATCCATTGTTTATCGTTGGTTACAGATATAAAATAAATAAATGTATGCATCCTATTTTCTCCACTCTATACCCACCCACAACAGTGGCCGCACACGTCCCCAATATCAGATCTTTTTTGAATACTACATGTATGGGTAGATATTCAAAAATGTTTTAACACTAATAATTTTATTAATATATAAGTACCTATTGTTTTTTACAGCTGACATGGGCCGATATTTATGGTGTAGCTATATTTGACTTCATGGGAAAATTACTAAATATTGATATGTATGAAAATAAACCAGTTCTAAGAAGACTTCGAGAAAAAGTATACAATATCAAGAAGATCAGTGAGGCATTAATTCAAAGATCGAAAATTATGATTTCTGTACCTGAAATCCTATTTCCAAGTGTAGACCAAATATGCGCCGCGTAATAAAGTGAGCGTAATTTAAAAATAAAAAAAAATATACCTAATCGTCAGATTGGGTGACATAAAATAAATGTATTAGTCATATCAAATTTTAAATTAGGTACCCATCTAATAATATATTATACTATGTATTTCTTTTTTGGATTATAATACTTATGAAAAATGTTGCAATACTTATATGTTCAAATAAAAGAATTACCACCAGAATTAGTGTACCATTTATTTCATTAATTCTTGATAAAATCCTATTATCATTATTAAATTTTTAAATATTTTTTAACGCCCCCCTCCCGAGAGAGATGGATTTAATTTGGCATTTGGCATAGTCATTGGTCCAGAAGTAGATATAATAGATATAATCAATATATTATTTGACATAATTTTTTACAAAATGTATGTATTGGTTTTACATAGATTTCTATTTTTTTTTTATACCGTGATAAAAATGTTTACCAGAAATCTTGCCCCGATATGTATTTCTGAAAGGAAATATTGTATAGATGATATTTTAGGGAGTCAATTTTTGATATTCTAAGCGGTTTTTATAATATCTGAGAAATACCGGGAGTAAATGTAAGCAAACGGGAAATTTACGAAAATAATGATTTTTATTATTTTCAATTATGTTATTTGTTGTAATTCAGTTTATAATACCCGTAGACTTGAAATTTAAACAGAAAACTTATATTTGCCTATATTTACGTGGTAAAACTGTTAACAGATGTAAGCTATATTTAAGCTATTAATTGACACTTTAATTTTATGAGTAATTTTTATTAGGTGAGGTACATCTATGGATAAAATTGTTGGAAAAAACAGAAATGCTTAAAAATTGAATAGGAGTTCAATTATAAGTCGTAATTTAAAAAAAAAAAATTAATCTAATGTGGTAAATTTTCTATATTATATTTTGATGAAAACTGTTTTAGTAAAAAATTATGTGGAACAAATTCAATTACCGGTCCATAAAAATTGTTTAAACACATTAATTTTACTATAATATGATATATATTGTTGAAAAATCAATACTATTAACCGAGCTCCGCTCAGAATCGTTTTCCGTTAGCAACGGTATGTACCTATTAAATTTCCTTCTATATCCTACTTTCCCCAGGTTATGGAAAAAAAATAGTATATTTGAAGTTTAGTTAATCGACTTTCAAATACTTATATGAAAAATAATTTTTAATTAAAAGCATTTAATAAATTATTACAATTTTAAATACTAAATTAGTTTATTGATAACTTTTTAAATAATATTATATTATCTTTTTTTAACTTTGTAGGGTTAATAACAATGTTTCTGCATTTCCAACTCGGTGTTATTTGATTCCAATTTCTATTATTAATGTTTAACTTATTCAATAATTTATCAGCTAAAACAGGTACAATAGGTTGAAGAGCTAAGGCTGAAATTCTCAATGTTTCCATAGTTACATGTAGTACACATGTTAATTTATTGACATCATGTTTAACTAATTCCCATGGTTTATTGTGTTCAAAAAATCGATTGCAACATTGTAATGTGGCTATTATTTCATCAATACCTTTATAAAAATTCAACTCTTCATAATGACTGCCAACAGTGTCTGAAATACGTTCAAGCTTTTTGTTTAATTCAACAAAATTTGAATCAATCAATAGACTTTCGAATGCTACTAAATCTAATTTTGGATAATCAAGGTTTGGGTTAATAGCTTTTCCACAACATCGGTTTAAAAGGTTACCCAATGTGTCTGCTAATTCAGAATTCAATATATTTTTAATTTTAAGATCACTATAGTTACCATCACTGTGAGCAGTACCTTCTCTAAGCAAAAAATACCTTAATCCAGATTCAGTATATTGGTGACTAGCATCTATTGGGTCTACCACATTTCCTTTGGTTTTAGACATTTTCTCACCATGAACTTTCCAATGAGAATGCACAAAAATTTGTTTTGGAGGTTCTAAACCAGCAGCTATTAGAAATATGGGCCATAATATTCCATGAAATTTTAAAATGTCTTTACCGCAAATTTGTATATTAGGAGGCCAGTGTTTTGTATCTGGATAACCAGAAACTGTCAAATAATTTACAAGAGCATCCAGCCATACATAGATTGTTTGTGTACTATCTCCCGGTACTAAAATACCCCAATTGACCCGACTTTTTGGTCTTGACAATGATATCTCGTATAAATCAATTATTTCTCTATTCAGTATTTCATGGAATACTTTTGGTTTAATTCTCTCCGGTTTATTTAACCAATTTTGCAAATGATCTTTGAAAGGTCGTAAATCAAATTTATAGTTATCTTCTTCTGCCCATTCAACTGGTCGTCCAGATTCTTTACTAACACGAATATTATTTACTAGTTCTATTTGATCTTGTGATAAAAAAGTTTCATCGGCTGTACAATACCACCCAGAGTACTTTCCTTTTTTTATATGCGGCTGTAATTTATTCCAAAAATGCTGTACACATTTTTTGTGATTTTCTGATGTTGTTTGAATGAAAGATGTATGACTAATATCAAATTTATTAAATGTGGTTTTATAATTATTTGAGATTTGTTTACAGTAGTTTTCTACAGATAAATTATTACTTTCAGCAGCTTTTTGTACTTTTAACCCATGCTCATCAGTACCGGTACTAAAAATAATACTTAAACTTGGATTCAATAACTTTTGAAATCTTGTAGAAGCATCTGCAATTAAAGCACTGTAGAGATGTCCAATGTGAGGATCTAAAATCACAAATTAATCAATACATATTATAAATATTCATGAACTTTTTTTTTTTATTATTATTATTTTATACACTTAGGTAGTTATAAGTTAAATAATATGTAAAGTTCACATTTTTTACTTTAAAACATATTTTTTTGTTGAATTATAGAATTATAATTGGTAGAAAGTAATATACTATTGTACCAAATACCTATACAGTTGATTCCAAAGTATAATATGCAACTTAAATGTATTTATTTAGATACCTACTAATTATTATATTATCACTCTGGATTAGTGAGTTGAGACATAAAGTTAAGTTCTACAAAGGTGTGGTGAGGCTGACAAAGTTGTACAGTTCAGAATGTTGGGCGGTAGACAGAAAAATATAGCAAAGATGAGAATGCTTGGTGGATGAGAGGAGGGAAAATAGGTGTAGAGGAAGACTAAAAAATAATTATATGAAGACAGCCGGTATAGAGGAGGTGGGAGATCGGGTCAAGTGGAAGTTTAGAATAAGGGTAGTTGACCAAAATAGTTGGGATAAAGCAAAAGAGAAGAAGAACACTCTGTATTGGTGAGGTATGAAGAGGTATACTTTTGGATATATCACACTACACCAGTTTATTTACTGTAAAAATGATATATACTATTTTCGGTTGTGAAATTTTCAATTTCAATATTAATTTTAATCACCCTGGTACAGGTAGGTAGTTAGGTAGATAGGTAGGTAGGATATAAAACTACAGAACACTTTATTGTTACTCAAAATCATTCATAACCATTGACCCATTAATTTTGTTAGGCATATGTTCATAACTGATAAATATTACCCAACAACATACATATAAGTATTTAGAACTAGATTTTAGGTACATATGAAATAATAATTTATAATATTACGTTGACATACCTATGCCCAGTGGCGACGTGAACTTATTATTTCAATGACGCATTCAAATTTTTCAACACCTACTCACCCACCCTCCTTTATATATAAACACAAAATATAAATATAAAAAAAAAAACGCTAACCAAATTAGAGATCAGTATGTAAATTTTCTTGATTTTTTAATATTAATCTAAAGAATAAAGTGTCTTCCATCATGTACTACACATTGTACGTCAAATATCTTGTACCTACTCAACCATAAATGTCAACATTCAACACCCACCCACCTTTTTTTTTGTGATGCGGCGGGGCCAATTTAACCTCATTCACGCCGCCACTGCCTATACCTCAAAAATATAATTGGTTTTTGTTTATTATTTCCAATACAAATTTGTGTATGATGTAAGTACTATCTACCTACACTATAAAGTTAAAAAACCATTTGTTCTAAATATAAAAATAGACTCAAATTTAAAAAAAATGTATATATCTACCTAAATCTAAAAAAATTAAATAAAATCAAGCATGTTGTACACACCTGTTATAATTAGGTAGGTGATCAATTTATTTATCTAAATATTAGATTTAAGATGTTTTGGACTACAATATCAATAAAAAATTCAAACAAATGTGGTATCTGCCTAACATAAACTATAGCCACAACTCACAAGTTTAAAGGATGGACAAACAACACTGGTAATAAAGATAATAAGGGTTTTTTATACTAAGTCTAATATAGACTGCTTTTATTTATAAAATATAATAAAATTAATAAAAAGTGCATAAATGTAGTATACAGTTTAAAGTACAAATTCTTACTTGCGTTAACATAAAATATTGGAGTTGTAATGAAATACGAAGTTTTAGCCAGTCCTTTTAAACTTCCACCTATTCGACACATAATAATTTTTAACAAAATATAACTCTTAAAATATAAATAGAATTATTAATAAATTAAATATAAGCAGATAATAAAATCTTAATATTGAAAATATAAATATAAATTAAATATTCCATCAAAAATATAATAATTATATTAGTATTCAAAGTATTTTATATAATAGGTATTGTTAATAGATATTTTGACGAAGTAAAATAAAACAATAAGAACTTAGAAGTAATAGAAGTAGATACAATTAATCATAATTAAGTTTCTCAAGTTTCCTTATTATCTATGCTGATACCATAGATTATAGAATATGATTATATTATCTGTGATGATACCTCACAACGTGTGAGCATTGAACACTAGTGATATGATATGTTATCATAGAGTTCAATGCGTGTGAAATGGGAATGAATTCACGAACGACACAAACCACAATTATCATAGCGTATAACTCAAGTAACGATTCACGATTTTTTTTCAATATTAAAAATATCGAATCTCATATTTTTGGTTCATATTATAGAAATTATCTAATTAGTGGTAATATCGAGAAAATGGATTATAAAGAAGAACAACAAAACGAAATCGATGCTTTGGACTCAATATATTGTGGTGAAATGACAGGTAAGCATAAATATTTATAATACTTATAATATGTAAATACTGTTAGATGTATTAATTTAAGTTATTTATTTTTAGTATTAGGTACAGATCCTTATTATCAATTCGAAATCCCAGTTAAATCAGATGAATTTGACAGTGATCTACATGATATTGGACTTTCATGTTGTTTAAAATTTGAATATGTTGAAAAATATCCTGATGACCCACCTATTGTAGAAATTGAAGATGTAGTTGGTTTTGAAGATCAAGAATATGAACTTAAAGAATATTTAATTGAACAAGTAATTATCATCATAGTTCAATTAATAAATAAATAATTATTAATTAGGTATCTATTACTAATCATTGATAGATATGAATTATTTATGAATACATATTTAGGCTAAAGACAATGTTGGTATGGTAATGATATTTACTTTAGTATCAGCTGCACAAGAATGGATGAACAACTATTCAGATAGTGAAAAACAAAGAAAACAAGACGATGATGATAAAAGACGCGAAAAAGAAATGGAAGCTGAACTAGTTAGTAATAATTATTTGTTTATTTAATTTGTACTAGTTGTTAATTTAATAATTTAAATGACATTAAAGTCTTGTTTAATAAATACTTATATATTTATAACTTGCCTAGAAACGATTTGAAGGTACTAAAGTTACAGTTGAATCATTTTTACGCTGGAAATTTAACTTTGAAGAAGACATGGGACTTTTAAAAAAACGAAATGAAGATGAAAAAAACAAGAAACTTACTGGCCGTGAATTATTTATGACTGATAACTCTCTAAATGAATCAGATTTAAAGTTCTTAGAAGAAGGTTTGTTTATCTTTTTTAAAATTATAAAAAATTAATCGTATCAAGTTGTTTTTTGTAATACACACTAGAAAGAACTTAAATATTTAACCTATTTACTTACAGATATAATTTTTTGAAAATATTAGTATTTTAAAATTATAAAATTACATTCTTAATTTGAATAAAAAAAAAAAAAAAACAGGTAATTTATATTTGTGAAGCAATATAGTCGAAATATTTTTGTATTAGAATAAAAAATAATATATCATATATACACATACAATATTGTTACATATATGGATATAATCTAATAATATATTTATTAACAAACCCTTCATATAGCTATTTCCTTTAAGTAAAAACTTGTTGTGGGACCAGGGAGCTCACAATTAGTTTGTAAAATTGTTTAATAAATAGCTAAAGTAAGTAAAGTAGAAAAAAAGATATAGAATTTACGTAAATTTAAAATATTTATTTCAGTTGTATTAAATAATAATTACATATTTTACATTCTGAGTGGAGCGAAGAAGTTTATGGTTTTATAAAGATGTTTATTTTTTTTTTATTTTTGGACAACTTTTCTACTAGAGAACTTTCTCTGATTTTCACGTGTAGCACCTTTTCTGGAATGAAATTTATGTGTGGAGGTACTTTAGGAAGCTTCGATTTTCTCAAGAATTTTCTCGTCAAATGCGAAAAACTAGACTAATAAAAACAGGAAAATGTACCAAGTATATTAGTATATTATTACAATTTTATTTTTCTGTGGACAATTTTTCTACGAGCAATTTTCCTCCAATTTATAATGATAGCAATGTTTCTAAAAGGAAACTTGACTGGGAAGGTGCTACAGAAAGGTAATTTTTCGGTTTTCTTAACAAATATGAAAAACCAGAGGGAAAATGTAGGAAAATCAGTACAGTAAACAAATATTATTAAAGTTAATGTATTATGCCTATTTAATTATTTTATCATAATATGACATATATATTGTTGACAAAGCATCACTATCAACTGAACACCATTCAGAATCGTTTTTTCGTTGGCAATGGTTAATCGGTGCTAACATATATACATTAAATTATCTATAAAAATGGCTGCACCCATTCCAATTATCCTAAGATAGGTCTTTTATAATATGTATATGCTTATAAATTATAAATAGTTTCTTATAAAAATAAAGTAGCATATGCCTATCAAAACACCACTAATATCATAGACTTGTTAACCTATTAACTGATTTTTTCTCACTCCCCCAAAAATAATAGATTGTATAGTATCTATTACCCTATTATTATTATTTTTTTTTTTTTGTAGTTTGTCTTTCCCACTCATTTGATATCCTCTTATATTTTTTGTGTCCAAGGTCTGACAATTTATTACCACATTTTTATGCAGCACTCTGTTTTGTGTAATGTGCTTTTTTTTCATTTATTTAATGAAGTTAAAAATTATATAAATAAGAATCCTTAATCAGATTTATTATTATTCACTTTTAAGTATTTGTTGTGTTTTCAAATTAAATATTTTTATTTTTATTTAGGAGATTTGGTGAAAGTTGATGAATCATTGTTTGAAGAAATTGAAGGTCTGGATATAGCTGATGCTGGAAGTTCTGATGAAAGTTAAAAAATGTTGTATTTATTTAAACTATTTATAGAAACCATGTTGTAAATATAAAATGGAGATATGAAGGTACTATTTTATTTTAAAATTTAATGTGTTTAAAATTGTAAACATAAATTTATAAATATTTTTATATGCAATGTATGACACTATCAAACGTCTTAAATAATATAAATAAAATACAATTATCCATTTTTAAATAATTTCCCAATAGAATAGCACACCTGAAGAGTGAATTTTTCTTACCTTGGTTTATGATAGAAAATTATTAAGGGATTAAAAAAATCTTATGTACTTCTGTAATCTTATGTATCTTATAATCTTATGTGAATGTATTTTAATTTTAAGAGGTTTCTGCACAAACACAAATAATATCTAGATATTCTATAAAAATGTTTAAAAAATACTACAAAAGATATATATTTGTTAGTGAGATTTGGAAAGGTAGGATACATAAAGTTATAGCCCCAGCATGTTATGCTGGGGAACAGACATAAGGCGAGAGAGGATATCCTTACAAATATCAATAAGGACACTCCCACTACATGTACAATATTACTAGTAAAGCTGCATCTATCAAATCTAAAAATATCATAATTAAATAACCCTAGTTCGCAATTATTAATGGGATCAATTAACTGTGTCTCGGTTAAATCAAAAAATATAAAATTAAAACTAGAAATATTGCTTCTAAAATTTAAGAATTTTGTCTTTAGGCCACAGCAGTTTTGATAGAAGCTATTAACTGTTTGATCAACAGCCAAAGTACTTTGGGCTGATTTATGATAAAGCTAAGCAAATGTTGGGTTTTGTAAAAAAAAAACTTCTATTTTACAGTAGCCAAAATATTATATACCTCATTAATATTATATTTTATTAATTAAACTAAATAAAGTATTGGGTAAAACAATTTTATTGATATTAATAACAATAAACAACAGTTAATAGCACAGTAATAGAAGTACAGTTTTATCGGGTGGTCAACTGAAAAAAGAACAAAATTATTAATAATAATTAAAGATGAGCCGATACCACATTTTGCCAATATTTGATATTCTGATATAGGTATGCTACCGATATTTGAATTCAAAAAAATTGTAATAAAAATAATAATAGATACGTATTATACACATATTAGGTACATGCATACATTTAACGTTAAAATAAATTGTTTTATTTACAGTTTACATTTTTAGGCCTAGGCAGAGCTACCTACATTGCCTTACCTACTTACATATGTATTATGTATACACGTATTTACTATTTTAGTTTACAGGTCTGAGAATTTATACGATAAAAATAAATATTTTCATTTTTCTTTCATCCTTGAACTCAAAATGCATAATCCAACAATAAACATGACAGGTTAATCTAACCTACCTAATATATTGAATGATAGTTCCATTTAATAATCAGCAATTAAGTATTAAATAAATTGTCTACATCTTTATTCTTTACCAGTTTGCCACATGTGCACTGTACCTGTGTGTTTAGCATTAGGTAAGTGTATTTCCGTCATCAAATCAAGCTTATAAAATGTTTGTTGAATTTACCTTAATGTTGTTATTATTAAGATCCATAAAATTTAGCCAATTCAACTTTAAAAACATCAAGTTAAAAGTAAGTGATTGGTTATTTTTTTTCTAGAAAAATGTTTAACATTTTAGACTCCTATAACATATCTTATTCAGTATATTTTACATTCAATATTGAAAACAAATTATTTATCACGTTTAGAAAAGTCTAGTATAAGTATTCTAAGAAAATTTCAACTGTATACGAGATTATATATTTGTCAAATTTTGCTACAAGTAGAAGCTGTACTTATTGTACCTATTATATCTGTTATATAGAGTAATAAACATAATGTAAGAAACTTATCATTTTGGAAAGTACCTACTAATTTTTTAAGAAATTTTTTTTTGAAAATTTAACAAACAATTAATTCTAAAATATTACATGATTGTTATTTTCTGAAACCACTACCGACTTGATTCTCAAATAACATCCTATATGAAAATTCTATAAATAGATGAAGTTTTAATTTAAACAGTATAAATACATTGTATTATTGTTCTGTTTATTTCCATTATTCTCGCTCTACCCAAACTTAAAAGTGAAATAATTCGTCAATGGTTCGACGGAAGTTAAAAAATGTCAATACCTAAATTTAATGTACCTAATTTGAATAGTGTTCCACGTTACTCTCCACTTATCAAAAATATAGTAAACTTTTTTTCGTATTGGCCGTTATTATAATATTATATATTAAGTTAAAATTCCTTCTTTGAGATAGGTGTCTACCATTTACTAAAATCTAATTTTTAAATTTAGATTTTGATATACTTAGGTATTAGAGGTACCTACCTATCTAATTAATTTTGGTTAGAGATTAAAATTAATTGAGTTTTGTGGTTTTAAAGTAAGTATTGAGTGCTTGTGCTTGGTTTTACACATCTACCTATTTAATATATTCAATAGACACTGTATTTAAACAGTTCGTATTCTTTATTTTTTAGTAACAACACCGATGTAGGTACCCAATAAAAATACGGGTAAACTATGTAGTTTTAGATGGGTGATAATCATTGGGTAGTAACAACTAACAAGGTGCCTGTGTTAGGGAAATGATTAGGTAACCTAGGTACATCTATAGGTACCATTAATCATTATACCTACTTACTCATTATAATAAAACAATTTTTAATACATTTTAGTATTATTATTCTATATGCATTGCACAATATTATTATATAAGTACTATAAGGACCTATTTTTTTATAATATATTACCTACCTACCTACATTAGGTTAGGTCACTAAGTCCAATAAATCATTATAAACGGTTTTAAGTTTTCAATTTCATAGTTCTACATTTTAAGCACAATATATTATTTGATATTTATGTTTTCACTTTGAATTAATATTCACTCATACCTATGATTTGTTTTAATTTTTGCCGCATCTTTTTAAAATTTTAATTAAATACAAGACAAAATAAATCAAATTTTTAAAAATTTTTAATTACTAAAAACATATAAAAACAATTAAAAATCGGCTTTCTTAGTTACCAACTGGATTAAAAATTCAAAAAAATGATCTGTCAATTTTTTTACTGATGCAATATTTATAGTAGAAAAGAAAGGCCGTAAATATTTTAAATAATGAAACCGTTGTACCGTAATTGTTTGAATAAAATCAATTTCTTGTCATTTTTCGATTGGACCAATATTTTTGGTAGAAAACATAAGCTGAAAAATTTAAAAATTATGAAAACTGTAATGCCGCGCCGTAAATATTTGCCGTTTTACATATAATTTTCTTTCGGTTTTTTCCAATTTTTGCTGATTTACAATGATACCACTCTTTGTAAAAGAAAATCTGACTGGGAATGTACTTCATGGAAGTAATTTATAGATTTTTCCCAATAAATGGGAAAACAGGAAAATAGGTACAATATCAAACAAATATTTTTAAAAAAAATGTTTAATTCATATGTAATTATATTATTATAATATGACATACATAATGTTGACAAACACTTTCTATTGAACTCCGCTCAGAATCATTTTTTCGTTACCAATGGTAATCGTTGCTTACAGATATACATTAAATTCCCCTCTATATCATACCGTCCCAGCTTCTCATCTACAATAGTGGCCTACCCATCTTGCGAAGTTGCGACTTCTGATATTTATGATGATGAGTTGAGGATTAAACTCATCTAATGTCGACATGTTCATATTTACATATAGAGAATCTTTATATTAGGAGATAAAGAAAATCTCGTGACAGATTTTAATGCATTGTAGTACGAAAATAATCTTTTGACATGGTTTAGTAGATAAATGCAAGCCTAGAGAAGTTTAAACAAATATACTAATTTATTAGGTAGTAAGAGCACTTGTGGAATAAACAAAATATTAAACGTTTATGTTTTTTTTATTTTGTTTTTCTTATCAACAGACGGAATGTTAATATAACTTTAAAAATAATGAACACACTTTTTCATTTCTTACTGAATATTATTGTAATTTCGTACTGCACATTATTTTAGGCTCTGTTGAATAGCCATGGGCACCCAGAGAAGGGCCACACGGCAAGACAGGACATTTGCCCTCCCTCAGGACTTCCAAATTTCAATTATAATTTTATTTTAAGTATTTTTTAGTATTTTTATAATGCTGCAGCCCCCCCCTGGAATTTTGTTTGCCTCCCAGAATATTCAACACTGTCCCTCCCTGATAAGTGCCTTGCGGGCGCCCATTCTGAATTGTACAGTTTTTTTTAGGTACTTATTTGTTTAATCTATGTAATATGTATCTACATTCGTAGGTAGGTACCTTAGAAAGGTCAGGTTAAATACACATTTTTTTGATTTCCCTCTTCTATTTTGTTTAGAAGATTTCGATGATCTGGAAGTTTCCGTACAGAGGACCGAAACTGTATGCAACGTTAATATATCATAAATGGTTCCCGTTGGGCATTCAGATATTCATGAAGACGTCTCAAATATCGATTAAAAGCAGATTGACCGTGATCCAGAACTCCAGTAAAGTACCAAAACAGTGTGGACGTGCGGTACATATAGTCTCCGACCGTTGAGAAGAATATTATTTGATAAATTTGATAAAATTATACCAAATGTATTTACATAAAATTATTATATCCGATATCCCTATAGTTTTTGTTGCAAAGCACATTTTTATTACTTATCTACCTGTATCTATTATACAGCTACACCTACACCAGTTATTATTTATATTATTATTATGTATGCATAATCCTATAGTAAGTATATAAATACAAGTTTTACGTGATCTTGAAAATAATTTGTCTATTTATATGTATACCTTTCTACTTTAATCGTATTGTTTACCTACAAATTAGCTGGTTTTGTAAATATAGTAGGATCACACACAGGAGAAATTTGTTTCGTTAATTAAAAACGCGTGTATTCAAAAGGAGCAACACATACTGGTGAATCCGAAACGTTATCTCAAATTTAATTTGTAAACGAATTTTATGAAATAAAATATGTTTTGTTTGACTTGTAATTGTTTCATCATTGTAGAACAGCGGAGTATCTATCATTTGTGCGGCGGTACGGCGCGTGGCGTGTTAATAATGCACCACTACAATGCACACACCACACTCCTCTAATTTAAACTTAAGAGTGGAATATCTTGTCAGCGGCTAGACAGAAATCAAAAATTTTAACAACATTTACATTTATTTTAATTAATACTCCCCATCTATTTGTGGAATTTTTAATATAAGTGTCATTTAAAAATCAAAAGTAGATAGGAGTTTTACCCCAAAAAATAACATAAATATTAATTTGTAGAGCTGCTTGTTTCTTAAATGTTCTAGAAAACAAATTCTGAAAAAAAGTTAATACTTTCCGAGATAATAAGTGTAACCACTTAAATGGATCACCCGGTACATCGTACTTATAAAAATAACTATTGGCACGGTTGAAATTTTTTTTTTTTAATTGTATGATAAATTGGCACATTGAACAAATCGTACTTACCATGATGACTGACAGAAGTTATTTTTTTATTCAAATTAGAAACTTATCTACCTGTTAACTACCAAAATGTCTAATGCCTAGTAGCACACAACGTTATTGAATAAAAATATGCACATTTTATTACAAATTATCGAAAAACTCATAAAAATCAAAACCATAGATAAAAACAAAAAAATTCATTAAATAATTAATACAATATTATACAAATACAATCATTGTAGGCATATTTTAAAAATGCAAAATTAACCTCACCGTGATTATTTTACGGTTTACTCAAATTTTGATAATGATGTGAATTTGGCGGGCCTCATATTCGTTATGTTGACATAACAATTCAAGATAAGACCGTGTATGATTATTATTTTAAATAATGATAACTATTAACTAGAAACTTCCTATCTGGATTGTTTTAAATTTTTAATTCGTTGTACCCACGAATCTTAATCCGTGGTTGTACCTAGTAAGTTATAGCCTGTTGGCATGCAATTACTGTATTTGTTTAATATTTTATTGATTATTTAATGAATGTTTTTTTTTTTCATTTTTTAGTTTTGGTGAGTTTTTCGAATATTAGAAAATTTGTACTAAAATGTGAATCCTTTTGTTTTATAACATTTTATGTCATTAGGAATCCGACATTTTGACGTTTAATAGGTGGGTAGATAAGTTTATAATTTGAATAAGAAAAAAACTTCTGCTAGCCATTGCATATAGTACCAACATATCAACATGCCCACTGACGACAATAGTTTAGAGGAAATGGTAGAGAAAACATTGGAATCTACTGGTGTATTACCTAAAATGAGAGTATGCAGGATAATGAATATTAAACATTTCAAAATTTGCCATCTACTAAATTGTTTTATTTTTATTATTTAATAGGCCGAACTTCGTGCAAATGTTTTTCAAGTGATAGAGAAAGGCTCATCGTTTCAGGTAATATTTTAATTTATAGTTAAATTAGCCAAATGGAAAAAAAAAATCAATAAAATTATATACCACATTTACAGTTTTTATAATACAAATTAACCTAACTGAGCCTCAGGAATTACTTATTCAGAGCTATAATAAGACCTTTCGACTCCTCTGGTCATACAATAAATTCCTGTTCTTCTACCCACTTATATTTATTTTAATTAAAATTGTATATTTCTGGTATATATAAATTATGAATGGTCTTGTGATATTAATAATTGTCAATTAATCTGTTTTAGAACAAACTTTACACAGATAAAATTCAAGACTTTGTATCTAATAAAAATGGGTCGTTATTGTTATCATTAGTTAACGATTTGTTGGAGTATTTAGAATTAACATTTACAAAATCAGTATTTGATCCCGAAACGGGTGCTGGACGTTTATATCAGTGTATAGATAAAGATGAAATTTGTAACAACCTTTCTCTTTCAAAAGGTTAATATTATTCACATTATAAAATGTATTCACTTATTTGGAAAAAAATGTAATAATATTATTTTTGTTTAGATGATAAAAAACCTTTATTGTTACAAATTCTCCAAACTTACCAGTCACAGTTTAAATCAGTTGACAATGGTGCTAAGGTTTGTTTTGAACAATATAAAACCTATTTTTTTTTACTTAGTTATTATTTTTTGTGGATCTATTTAGGAATATAATGTATTAAAACAACATAGTAAAACATATGATGGATCATCATTAGCTCAAATTTTAAAAAATAGTATGGAATCAGCAAACAAAATTGATAATAAGCCTAAAACCATACCACCCATAAAAACCAAAATATTTGGAGAATTTGAAGAACAAAATACACAATTTGATAGACATGAAAATTCAGATTCATTGTCGTCTTTAGATAATTTACAGTTAAAAGAATTAGAAAGCTCAGGTAAATAAAATATCTGTTGTTTTACCAATTTAACTTTAAAATGTTATTAATGTTATTTTATCAGTTAAACTTGAAATTTTAATCCAACTTATTTCACCATAAAAATATATATGAAATATTTAATCAGGCATTTTTACAAATTTTATTGTATTCTTTTGTATTTATAGGAAGTTCAAATAGTTTAAGCATAGAACAATTATCACCAGTTAAAAGTTGTGCTCAGATTAAGAACAATGATAATTTAGAAGAAGATATCAAGTCAGATATAAAAAATATTCAAAATGACTCAAGTTTGGAAGACGTTGTTACTGAAGAAAGTATTTCTTGTGGAAAGGATAGTTCACTAAGCACCGACTTATCTGTAAGTATAATTAAAATTAGAAGTAATCAATATGTTTAAATGCAAAGTAATAATTCAAACTGTTCAATTTTTTTCCTATTTCCAGGATTTTTATTATATCTTCAAAATTTTTAGGTAAAGTTCACAATAGGACATTCCTTATTTGATTTTTTTTGCAGTTCAAAGTGAAAAAAACTCATTAAAAATAATTTAAAAAAAAGCTGTCCTAGGATAATCAGGATGGGTGTAATCACTGTTATTGGGGAGAAGTTGGGAAGTAGGATATAGAGCGGAAATGAATTTGTATCTGTAAGCAACGATAAATCATTGCTCACTAAAAATTATTGAGCAGAATTCAATTAATATTACTTATTGTTAATTTACATTACCATTACTAATTATTCAAAACCAATATTAACTCTTCTATTTGGAGATTAATTAAACTGTAAAAATGTATTCTGAATAATATTTTGTTGCTCTTTATGGTTGCTCGTTGATTTTCAATTGTTGACTTTTTTTATTAGTATAGATGTTACAAACCCTGATTTTTAAGGTCAAACCGAATTGAACTTTCCTTAAAATGAATGATCTAAACTGTACCTATACATTTTTATTCGAACTCGAACCAAACTTTTAAAATATTATATCGAACTCGAATATTTAAAATGTAAACATGTTAGGTTAGATCAACCTTTACCAATTTATGATTATGAAACCCACTGATGTGAAAAAAAGAATTTAGCTTTTTTGTAACAAGCCCGTTCTGTTCTACCACAGAATATTGCATTAGCAACATATCCGCAGTGAATTGACATTAAATGATTTTCAAACCGAAATATTGGGTATTTGGTTAAATTAATTGTAATTTTCAGTTTAAAAATCGAACAGTTTGTCACTTATCTATTTATTAGTGTATTTATCTATATTATAAATTATATTAAAACTTGTTGCTTTGTATATTGTATATTTGTATAATTAATTTAGTATATATATATTTGTTTCAGACTAATAACGGCAGTCCAGAGATGATAAAAACCCGTAATTTACAACTATGAACGTTCCATTGCAAAATACATTAAATTCCAATCTATAGAAATATATTTTATTATTTTTATACAAACAAATAATTTTTTATTTTTAAAACTTAATATTAAATTGGGAATTAACAAGTACGAATAGTATGACAAAAAACACTATATCTACACAAATAACACTCATGTCTTGACTTGGATTAGTTCATATTTTGAGCTTCAGCCATTAATCGTTCACCAAATGACTTGGAAACTAGAGTTACCGTTTCCAGATAACGGTCCATGCACATTGATACACATTTCTAATAAAACAATACTGTAATATTAAATTGTATTTTAAATTTAAAAATAAAAATATTTACTTGTTCAGTACTATCCAAAGAACCTCCTGGTTTAGTAACACATTTATTGAAACACAGTCTACTCATTTTCTAAAATAAAAACATCACATAATAATATTAATTATAATTTAAAATACATTTTTATTTGCATATATTGAATTAGGGTTCACACAAGCACAACATCATAGACTACATAATATTATGATCTGACAATATTGATAAAAAAAAAAAAACATTTTTAATAGTTTAATAAATATATATTGAGTTTTTAATATGAAATATATATACTTTTTTTTATTTTATTTAAATATATTTTAAATATTTTGATCATTTAAAAATGTATTTATTTATTACTATTTGCAACTCAGATAATAGTGAACATTTTAAAGTTGATTAATAGACAATTTTGATGTTAAAAACTTGTTTAATTTAAAGAACTATTTTTTTATTTCTTCAGTACCTAATCATATTTTTGTTAGATAAGAAAACAAAAATTGATACTGCCACATTTGTTAAAAATCATATAAAATAAATAATCAAATCTATATTGAGAATATATGTTTATAATATTTTGTAATTTAAAACAGACTTCTAATTCACCAATTGAACATAGTTTTTTAAGTAAATATGTTATCATAGGCATAGCTAGGGGGTGCTATAGGGTCTTTAGCACCCTCAAGTTTAAAAATAGCATTACTAAAAATACCCAACGAGTTGTTTTTTAGTATAGACCAACTACTTTATCCATGTACCTATTTCATAATATAAATAAGCAGAATAAAATAAATATTATTTACAGACAATGTATGTGTGTATAAAAAATAAAATGAAAAAAAGTTATCATACATTTTATAAAGAAAATTGTAAATAAAATGTGTAGTTGTTCATTATAAGTATCGTAAAAAAGAGGATTATGGGGATATTGCCTCTATGGGCCTGTGATGTGTTTATAATTTTAGCACCTCCAAAGTTGGTGGTCTAGTTGTGCCTATGTATACTATTACAAAATGAATGTTATTTTATGTATAATTGAATCATTTATAACCTATATTAGGTTTAACAAATAAGATATTCTGATATTTTGTGGTTTTAAATTTTCATTCTTATAACAATACACCAGTGGCTGCTATCATATATCTTATGTGTATCAACTGATACTGCAATGCGAACTTTGCACATTATACATAATTGAATATAAAATAATTTTATTTAAATCATTTGTAATCATTTATAATAATATTAACACAATTACTAAACAAATCTATTAACGATTACATTAAATACAATATACTATATTCGTAATTTTGCAAATTTAATTAATACACGGTTTACGTTTATTTCAAACTAAAAGAAGATGACAATCTATACCCTTATCTATACTTAAATATGCATAATAGATACACATATATAAATCTCATTTATGACAGTCAAATTAATGACATACAATTTTAAATTAGTATTTAAGTTATAAGCATAAAATATAAGGTATAAAAATTAGGTGTGTCAAGTAAAAATGTGTTCTTACAGAAACCCTTTTGCACAATAAGCTTAAATCAATAAGTTCTAGTTTTAACAATTTCGACTATTTCTTATTTACTATAACAAGTTGAATAAGCAAAAGTAGATATTAGTTTTTCAAAAAAATTATAGATGTAGGTAATTAGAAGTCATATAAGAGATTATTATAATACGAAAGCATACGTATAATGTAAATAATCATAGAACACTAAATATTTAGATTTATTAGATTAAGTAAAACGCTATAATTGTTTTCGGTAAGAAATTGAATAAGGCTTACCGTCAATAATAGCTCAATATTTTCTAATGCTACTTGTTGTTTTAATTTTTCAACAAGTTCGTCTTGTGACATCTTAGATCCTTCCATTGTATTATTTTGAACTATAACACTTAGGTACTATAGTAATTAAATTAAAAAATTACCGATACCTAGAATTACCTGTTTGAAGTAAACAAGAATAATTTTACTTCGGTATAGGATATAAAATTATTTATTATAGAGTATAGATGATAGATATGATATAAACGCGACAGCGGATAACGTAGAGAATAATAAAATAAAAAAACATAACCTAATTGATTTTTGTCAAAGACGCTGTAAGAATGGAACAAGTTTTGTGATAGGGACATTTTAAAATTTCAATTGTCTGACGTTACTGGCTTTACTGCGTTCCTTTCCTTACAACAACGAACAATGCTACATACGATTTGAAAATTGCCATTTGTTTTTATTTTACTAATTTATTATTTACTATTCTTCTACCGTGGCTAAATATCTAATATAATATCACAGATATATTTAACTGTAGAAAATACTACAAATTATCCATATAATTATAGTATTTACCATAGTTTAAAGCGGCCTTCACAGCTTACCGTGAAACGTGAAATATTCTAGGACTGTAATTTGTTGAACCATATGGTTATTATGTAGTGGTTAACCCGTGATCAATCATCAATTTTTGATTTTAATACCTCCCCTAAACCGCTTATACCGGATAGTTTGGTTCAATTGTTTAACAGTATCAACTGTTTTAAATTGTATCAATCATATGGTGAACAAATTGTAAATTATCACGTTTCACGGTGAACTGTGAAAGCACCTTATGATATACTCATATTTTAAATGTATATATATATATGTATCTTAAATCGTGTTATTTAATATTTTATTTTGTCTACCAGTCGGTAATCCTATCGCTTATCACCGTATATATTAAAGAATTTATTATCTATGTCTATCACTACTGGTTTTTTAATTCATTGTTTGCCGTTGAGATAACAAGAAAATGTATTAATAAACGTGAACGTTTTGTTTGTTTGACTGGAAACAAATAAATCAAAGATCAGTTACAATTCGTGTAAGTATACTAAATATTTACCCATATTTTCGCATAAGTACCTAAGTACTAATAAATTGTAGGTACAGATAGGCCAAGACGGGTAATTTTAGTTAACAAGTAGTTCAAAACCGCAATATTATAATAATTACAGGAATGTATTATTTTATTGTACGTCCATTTATTGATAGGTCATTTAGTCGATATAGTCATTTAACTTTTAGTTGAGTAAGTTGCTAACTATTTTTTTTTTATGTTTTATCTGTGTAAAGCGAGGAGGAGGCCAAAATAAGGGAATCTTGTACACGACTATATAATATACACGTTGTACCTCGAGTCAGGGACGTCATTTGCGGGAATGCGGGACGCAAATGCATACCGTGAATTTTTTTTAAACACCTTTAATGTTTAGACGTACCTAGTTAATTAGATATATAATTTTTATTCTAAAACGTTCATTTTGTAATTTTACAAAAATATTTTGTTATCGCCTATAATTTTAACAGTATCAGAAGACATAAACACCGTTATAAATAATAATTCAATACGTATCGGTGTTTTAATAGGTACCGAGTACCGACTACTGAATAAAGATGAATCCCCACCCAGGGAAAAAATCTCCGATGGTTAAACTTTCAGTATTTTTAACAGTCTACCCAAAATAAATGCGATCGGAATAATATGCAATTCCCGCTGATCATTTAGTTCTTTGTTCGAGGTTCGGTATATATAGACACCATATGCCATGATAAATTAAATTAAATTAATTTCTCAGTCAAGGCCGTTTTAATTTCTAGAAAATAGGCTTGAAAACAATCGATGTTCGATATTAATCGGATATGAATGTATGATACTATCATAATACATTAACATTTTAACTATAATATTTCTACCAAATGGCTGTTTTGAAAACTTTCTAAAGTGAACAAATTATGTGATTTTTTTCTTTCGTGTTTACGAGATGAAAATAAACATGCAATTTTTAACATACTACGCGAGTGGGTTTCAAGTTGAGATTTTAATTCTTAGCAGGTATAATTAGGTTTTGTATCCCACGAAAGAATGTATAATGACGCGCCCGCCTTGAGTTGCATGTAATACGTACGAACATTACGATGATATATTTCTCCCTTTTAAATCCTACCAAGTACCTATCTAGGTATTAGGTATAGTTTACTATAAATCATTACCCATAGGTACTCAAATTTATTAATTTATAGAATTAATATAGATAGGTACCAACCTAAAAAAAAATTAGACGGTATCTAGTTATTATTAAAATAGATACGTGTACCTGTGTCAATTACAAATGTCTGGAAATATATTTTCAACGATATTTCGTGACGACAATTCGAAATGTGGGATGTGGCCTTATTAAATTTATCTGCGGCTTCGTCACTAAAATTAATTAAGTGGCTGCCGGGAAAATGGTCAATATTCCCAAAATATTCAGTGTTACCATTTTTAAATTCTGCTCATTTGCGGTAAATTGCTTAATCCACTGCTGCTTTTGCTCTCGTGTCTTGTATGCAATTGGTATAAACAAAAAAGCATTACGTGATAAATTTCATGATTGTGACTTTTGTTCACTGGTTGAGTGTTGTGCAAAGAGATATTTATTTACATTTTTTTTTTAAAGAAGAGCGTTTTCTATGGATCCTTTGAATGATTTTTTATATTCTGAGTGGAGCGAAGAAGCTTATAGTTATACAAAGATGTTTTTTTTTTTTGGGGGGGGGCAACTTTTCTACCAGAAGACTTGCTCGGATTTCTATGTATAGTACTTTTTCTGAAACAAAATCGATGTAGGAAGGTACTTTAAAGAGGTCGTTTTTCCATTTTCCCCGGAGTATTATCATCAAATGCGAAACCCCCCCCCCAAAAAAAAACCGGAAACTTTACGAAAGATATTAAATATAATCTTACGATTTTTTTTCTGGTGGACAAATTTTCTACCAGAAATTTTGCTCCGAGTTTTAATGATAGCAAAGTTTCCAAAAGAAAATTTTTCCGGGGAGTTAATTTAGAGAGGTCATTTTTTTGATTTTCCCAGAAAATGTGAAAAACCTTGATAAAATATGGAAAAACCGAGAAAATCGTAGGAAAACTGAGAATATTGGTACAACATTAAACAAATCTTATTAAAGAAAATATACAACGCCTATATGACAGAGTATCACTATCAACTGAACTCCGCTCAAAATCGCGTTTTGTAAGCAATGGTTTATCGTCCCACATTTCTTTTTTAAATATTAATTTACTATTTTATTGAGATAAGTGTGTATTAATTTTAATCATTTGTGATTTATTCAGGAAGGGGCATAAGCTTCGCCCACTATTGATGTTTTTTCAACCTGTATTTGTGACTTGTGTAGTAGTTATAATTGGTATATTGAATTCTCAGTGTAGCGAGGAATGTATTGGTTTTACTATGATGTGTGTATTTGTTCTGTCTGTAAACCACTGTTCTAAAAGAAACATTGCTCTAATCTTCAAGTGTGCTATTTTTTCAAAAATAATATTTTGTCAAAAAGGTGAGGTCGTTGTTTTATTTTCCTTGTAGTTTTGTTAATAATTATTAAACTCTGGAAAATGTACACAATGATGGTTTCTCTGAGATTGAAATGTACATACAATATAATATATAGTTAGGCACAATAAATACGTAATAAATACGTATTATATATTTCAATCACGGGTTTTCCATCATTTTCGATTTTGTTCTAAATTAGTTAAAAGTAATCGTTAAAAGGCCTGGAATTTTCACAGAATACTTATAATACGCACTTTGATGAGGTGGTAAAATTTGTAGAATACTTTTTAAGCTGTTTATAAGCATTTAAAATTGTCTAGTAATTAGGTTATTTTAACTAATCGTTTGTATCTTAATAGAATAAATAATTTTCCTTGTTAAATAATGATATATTATTATGTTTTTGCTCTTAGAAAATGGAAAGTGATTTAAATACAGCAACAGCATTGGCTGTATCTTTAATACACACTAAACCCGATGGAATGGATACTACAGCTTTTGTTACAGCTATTCAATCAAAAATCTGGGAAAAAGAAAATGAAAATTTTTTCCGAGTAAGTTGAATGAAAAGTAAAATTTGTTTTTCTTATCCACAAAAGATAACTTGGTTTTGGAATAAAAATTTCCTGGAAGACACCCAGATTAGTTCTAAATAATGAAAAAAAAAATTATTAAATTTTTTCAAATTTTTAAAAACATACCATAAGAGTAATAATAATTAGTATGGATAGTGATGTAAATTTTCATGAACATTTTCAAATAGTTGGCAATGTTATCATAACAATTGCTTGTCAACTAAATCCTTTGACATATAGTAAAAGTATGTTACTCATAATTATACTTAAAACTGTGTACAATTTCCTCATATTGATATTATTTTATGCTGCTAGAACATAGAAAACACAAATAAATTTATCTTAGTAATTAATGTGCATTTTTATCTTAGATTAAACCTTCTATTTACAGTATGAATAGTATCTAACATTTGTTGATTTTACTATAGTTATTTTTTATTTTTGTTATTTACAACTTTACCCTAATTACTTTTAAGAATACCGAGTTATTAAAAATTGCGTACAATGTACTATATTCAAGAGTCATCAATTATACTATATGTATGTTTGATAAAATAAATACAAATATTATACCTAGTGTACTTACTATTGAGTTTTTAATTATTTTAGCACATATGTACAGTTATGGTTCAGTGATATCAATTGTTACAATCTCAACAATTAATTACCTATGTTAAGAAAAATACATAATAAATACAATTTTTAAAATTTTCAAAAAATGTCAACAAATAACATTTCTGAGTTGGAATATAGGGACTTTTCAAAAAAAAAAAAAAAAAAAAAATGATTTGTAATTCATTTTTAATCATTATTATTTTATAATTGCTTTATAGAAAATGTTATTTAAGAGAACAGATAGTTGATTTTATTTAATAAAAAGGTTTTGCAAAATAGGGAGACAAAGTGAGAAAAAAAAAAAAAATTTTATTTGAAACCGATCATAGGATAGTTAGATAATTTTATTTAAATTAATTAATGTGCACAAATTATGTAAAAAAGTCTTATTACTATAATTTACAGTATTTACAGTATCGTTGTAATTTGTATGCATTTTTATTAGACTCCTGAGGTAATGAAAAACAGCTATTTTTATTGTCAAAATTATATTTATATCTGTGGTAGTTAATTTAATGTGAAATAATTATGACTGAAACATTGGCTAATAAAATTACCAAAATAGGTAGATGTTTTTTAATATATAAAATAATTATTTTGTTTATCAATTTAGGAATTTTTATGCGGTTCTGATTCGGAAGAATTTACTGAAGAAAAACCGACTCATATTATAGAAAACGAGTCTTGTGGCAATTACCAGAGTTTTGACAAATGTATGTATAATATATTAATTATATTAATATGCATTTTTATTTATGAGTGTTTTAGTTTTAAATTTATGATAAAAATTGGTGAAAACAATAATTCAATTTCAGTTTAATAATAAATGTTTAATTGAGATGAACTCAGAACCGCATTTATTTTGAAATGATTTATTATTGCATTAAACATTTAAATTGTTTAACTAAACTGATATATTCTACTTATACAACTGCAGTAACTTAAGTAGCATCATTTTTTTACTATTTTATGATTCAAATTTTCGAATTAATTATTCATCACAAAGAATTTATTAAAATTCAATTAAATTGAAGTTTAAAAAAACTTAATAAACTATAGAACCATTAATAAATATTTTTGTGTTTAAAATTCATTTTCTAAATATTTGTTTGGTAAAAATATTTCATTCCAAGCTGTTAATGTATTTAACTCTTCCATTAATATAATTATTATTTTATGTTTTATAGGTATTAAAAATTTAATTCAAATATTTTGTTTTAGATCATACAATTATGCCACCAGAAGAAAACAGTAGACTTGATGATCATAATATGTCTTCTTCAGCTAGTTATTGTATACCTAACCAAATTCAAACACCTAGTACCAATTTGATTCAATCTATCATTACTATGAAAACTTTAAACTCAATGAGTAAAAGTCCAATTGATTCCGGTTATGATACGTACAAATGGGAATTCAATTCTCAAGACATTAATCAAAATCCTGTTGAAACTATGTCACAGTCAATTAATAAAGCTTTAGACTTTCTTAATGACACATTATTTGATAGTTCAAAATTATTATATTCATTTGAGAACTGGGATAATCACAATAATCTTGCTAAGCATTTTGTGGATTTAATTACTAATATGTCAGAAAAAAGTGAATTCGCACTTACATGCCGTGATAATGTTACCATGTTTGTCCAAAATACCGCGTTTAAAATTTTGGACAACCATCATTTATACAAGGTAAATTATGGTTATATTTTGATATTATATGTTTTATATCAATAATTAATTTATATAGTATAATTTGTTTTTTTATTTTTATTTAGTCCATGCATGTTGAGTATCAATGTAATTTACTTGCCAAAATTTGTTATGATAAATACATTCGGTGGAATATCATACATTTACTTCTTAATCGTCTTAAGATTGATATTCAAATTATACCCAATTCAAGTACTCTTCGAAGCATGTTTTACAGTTTTCATTTGATTGATAAGTTATTATTTAATATGGATTTTCATGCTACTAACGAACCAAAAAAAGATAAAACTAATTTAACAGATTTGTGGAAGATAAATCGTACAGTTAAGCATGGGAATGTAATTGAAGTTATGGAAAAAGTTTTAAGTGAATGGACACATCTATTGGAACATATTTCTATGGAAGCTTTGAGAAAAAATGTTTTTTTAATTAGCATCAGAGCAAACCAACAGTTAGAGTTAATAAAATTGATAACTTTAAAGAAATATTAATTTAAAATGAAAAAACAATATTATTCCTTTTTTACGTGGATAATTTAAAACTTAAATGTGATTTTAACAAACTTTTATTGAGGTAATCTTAATTTTTCTCTATGATATTGGAAAATGTATACCTATTTAGTTTTGTAAAAAAGTAAACTACCATTAAGGTTGATCAAATATACATAACATCTCAGAAATATTAATTTAAATTAAAAATATTTCATTCTCTTTTTTACTTCGTTATATGATTTTAGAAAAATTAGTTTTTAATTATTACCCAAGTAAACCATTATTTGTCTATTGATATCCATACAATTAATGGTTATTATTAATACTTAATTATTTTTAAATTTAAATTAATATTTCTTAGGTTCTATGATATTGTAATAAAGCATATAAAACAATATAAAATGTAAAATACCTTTCAGTATAATATTTGCAATAAATAATTTGATTGTTTAATTCACATCAATGTATAAAATAAAAAGTAGGTTGGTATTTTATAACAATTATTTACATACATTTTTATTTTTAACTAGTATTTAGTAATATCAGTTATAAATGATTTCAATATGTATATCTTAATTAATAGGCAGTTGATTTTATTTCTTAATGGTTTTAAAATTTATTGGAATCGAAATTGTACATTTTTGAATGGGCTCCGACTCGCCGGATGTAGTGGCGGCGAATCGGAAGCTAAATGTTATTTGTCTTCATGGTCGACACTGATTGAAGGTCTTGTTAGCTCGATCATAGGAACATTATCCTAGAGAAATATGCAAGTGTTATTATAAAATACAAATTTTAAAGAACAGGTGTATTTTATTTTACACATATTTACTAATTATTTAATAATATGAATGTTAAACAATTAAATGTATTATACTATGACTTACAATCTGACTGGTAACATGATTTATATGCATCGGAGCTGGTACATATGTAGTGATAGGTGAGCAGCCATTACATGTTCGTTTTAATGTTGCTTTATGTTTTGTACCATCGCACCGTATCGCATATCGTAGTTCTTCTGCCATTTCCGTACAAACAGATTGTTGCTAAAAAAAAAAACTCATTTTATTTGTAAAATTAGGCTGTGACTTAATTACTATAAATAAAATATATATGTATACATGCAAAATGATTCACTAAGTGTGATCATCCCATTTTTTTTGGTTAAATTTTGACTATATTTAGATTCAGATTTTTGGAATTTTTAAATATTTACAGTTAAAGCCGATATTTTCGAATAAGTACTTAGATTTTTCACAATATTTGAGGAGTATCCTGTGATAATATTAACTTTGGTTTTTCAAATGAGAACTTATATTAAAAATTCTATAGATAGACGGAGTATTACTTTAAATAAATGTTGGTGTTAAAATTTTTGATTAACTTCTTAACGAGATATTCCACTTTTTCAAGTCTAGGTATGTGGAGAGAAGTATTTGGGTGACGGCACAGCGCATGGTGTTTTATTAGTGCTCCATTACTCTCCCCCTACTTAAACTTAAAAATGAAATAATTCGTCAACGTGTTGATGGAAATCAAAAATGTTAACACTAACATTTATTTAAAGTAAAACTTCGTTTATTTATGTAATTTTTAATGTAAGTTCTCATTTGAAAAACCAAAATTTCTATCACCACAGAATACTCCTTAAATGTTATGAAAAATCAAAGTATTCGAAAATATCGGTTTTAACTATATTTAAAAATTCCAAAGATTAGAATTTGAATATGTGCAAAATTTAACCAAAACAATGAGGTGAGCACACTTAGTTAATCACCCTGTATATACAGGCGATCAACATAACGCGAGATCCTCATTATCTCGAAAGTTATTAACTTTTTCTGAATTTCATTTTTAGATCATTCAATTAGTTCTAAACATTTTATCTATCGGTTATTTTTGTCACTCTTATTTTAAGGGGCGAAACCGCTAATTACTTTTGACTTTCAAATGACAAACTATATATTGAAAATTCCATAAATTGATGGTGTATTGTATTAGTAATTACAGTTAAAGTTGGTTGAATAAGATTTGACGATGCAATTTCTGATTTCCGTCAACCCATAGACGAAATATTCCAGTTTTAAGTTTGGGTAGTGGGCGAGTGGTGGAACACTATTAAAACGCCGTGTGCCGTGGCGCTACCTATATAAACGGGTTGACGGAAATTCAAAAAGCAACATCATAATTGATTTAATTTAATATTACGTATATTTATGAAATTTGTAATATTTGGTTGTCGTTTGAAAATCAAAAATATTTAGTGGTTTTACCTCCTAAAGTAAGTACGACAAAACAAAAGAATAATGTTAAATATTTTAAAGCTGCTTGTTTCTTAAATGTTCTAAATAAATAAATTCTGAAAAAAGTTAATACTAAAGTGAAGAGTCTGTTAATGAGTGTCTTCCGTTAAGTTAATCACTTTTTATACAAAGTGATATGTATATAATATATTTAGATATAGAATATACTTGGTCTGTTGATTTTTTCTTGGAATGCCAGCAAAATTCTAATATTGCTATGATAACGGCAACGGTAAGCCCACACAATACGAATACAAACACTCCACCTAATAATAATAACAATAATAATAATAATAATAATAATAATAGTTATAATTTATTATTAATTATGGGGATACGTATAAATGCAGACAAAGCATAGGATTAAGCAACTTGCCGCCGACCAGAAAACGGACATATTTTGACATCCTTACGTTATAATACGGTGTTTTATTTTTTCGTAATGAAATTCAAATTCGCTTTTAAGGTGTTAATTATTTATCAAAATTATGTACGTCCAAAGTTGTGCGGGCAAGTTATTTTTACTCGCTATAATATCACAATATATTTTATAAAATTAGGTGCTTATCTCTACTACCGATATCTCATTCTAATTTTTAATTCAAAATAGTTATCCAATTAATTATTAATATTTTTTTATTCCGTTATTAAAGTTCATGTTCAGTTGTGATCAAGAAAATAAATCAAGGTTAATGTAAATTAAGTAGGTAACTATTTAGTGTATAATATTATTAAACTATTACAAGTACCTAATCCGTTTTTCTCGACGAGGTTGGCAACTGTAGGACCTGTACAAATGTGCGTAGGTATCCTATTACCTATCAATTTAAGTCATTTTGCACCTACCAAGATCGTTGAGATCCAAGGGCTTCGGTTTGAATTCTTTTACTTTCTCGTCTTTAATGCATATATCAGCGGCGTTCTTCCACCATTTATCGTAGAGCATTTGAATGACTCCTTTTTCCTGGAGCTCCAATACGGCTAACGATAGTTTATCTCTCCACGGTGAACCTTTCGGGGTCGCTATACCGTAGCCCTTGGAATCTAGAAGACCGCTGATTTGCGTTAGATTGCAGTCCCTCTGAACGGCATAATCTATCATCGTCGATTCCATCAGGAACGCGTAGTTACCGCCCAGTACTTTTTTCGTGCCTTCGTCGTAGGTCGGTACGAATACCGATTGATGTTTTTCCATAAACTTCCACATCTTCTGGTAAATCGGTATTTTTGAATCCTGTTGGTAGGGTAATATACACACGCGTGTTATAGTTATATTATTAATACGAATGAAATAGAGTGTTCGGGTTGTTCGTTATTTTTTGGGGGGTTTTAAATCGCCAAAAATATCATTCCCGTTGGTCTAATAGAGTAGGTAGGTACCTAATAGGTGGTAGGTATATTTGCATATATATTATTTTTTAGTATATTTACTCTAAAAAACGACATTGTCGATCCTCCGTCAAGAGTGCCGTATGTAATTTTTTCTTGCGACGACAATTCCGCTACGTTTTGTATGGGCTTTTGTAACCGCTCGACCGTGCGTAATGCCGTCAGGTTGGCCGTGTAGGACGGTATTATTATAATAGTGAAGAACCACCATATACCTCCCAGAATTCTGGCGGACGTGGCCTAGATATATAATGGGATACAAGTTATATAGCCATATAGGTACACCAGTTGGAAATTTATTATTATAGGTAGGTATAGGTGTATACACCTACGTAGTTTGTGAATTGTTTTACGTACCTTTGGGGTGATACCCGCATCTTGTTTTAACGACACGCCAGCCACAAACCAGAAACAATTCGATATGGTGAAACGACTCTCGTGGCAATTTTCTTCGGTGTGTGGCCGCCATTCGTACGGCGAGAATCTGGCTAGAAAAAATAACGAAAAACTCACGGCCATGTAGGCCAGAAACATAAAGCTCCAAACGCTGGTCGCTAAGGGGTTTAAGAAAGCGAACAATTTGGACGGTTCGTTACTTGGGACCTGTAACAAGAATACAAAAAAAAAAACCGTTGTTTAAAGTTGTGGTTTTGTCGATTCTATTTTTGTTTACAGGTCTTTGTTCATTTTTTTTTTACCATTCGTATAATAGGAAAAGTAAATTAAGCGTAGTAATAAAACGCTCCGGGGAATCGTAAACTTTTTAAATTTTAAGTGATGATTGTAAAAGTTTGCAGTTGTTGGTTTTTTTCTTTATCACCCTATATATCGTACATATTATATACCATGATGTATCCTTCGCAATACAAAGTAAACCCGTAACTCATTATTAATAATAATTACTATGCCTATAGTATAACACGGTTCAAATTATGTTTATGACGGTCTGTTCATATTTTTTGATTTAGACGATTATTTATTCAATAATATATAATTTTGTTTTAGAATCATGTTATTTGCAAATATAGGTTTGTTGTGGACTGGACATTGATACAATTTTCATTGTTCGTCACGCGAACTGCATTATGGTACTTGGTCGATGAAAAACAAATTCTTCAAATGTGAAAAATTTGTTTTACGCCGTGTCTGCGGGTTTAGGCCCACCTTATTTATTCGTTATAATTAAGCACACGAGATTTTTTATACCGTCTTTTTATCGAGACCCGTTTCTTGTTGTTATATTGTTAATCTTTCAGGGTTCCGTATTGCCAAAAACTTAACCCTAATAACTTTGCCGTTTATTCCAAACGATTTCGATGAAATTCTACAGGCAGGTGTCTTATATATTATCAATTACGTAAATAATACAATCGCGTAATCAAGAAATAAGAAACAAGTTTTCTATAGGGGTAGTTTTTTGTATCCACATAAAACTGATAGATGACAATTTTATATTTTTTTGGGGCACCTATAGTTGGAAA